AAAAATAAAAAAAAAATAAAAAAAAAATAAAAAAAAAATTAAAGCTTATTAGCTAAGAAATAACCCTAATTATAATTAATAAGGTAATTAATATAGCTAAGTAGCTAGATTATAGTAATAATTAGAGAGTTTTAGTATAATATTAATTATATTAATTATCTTCTTAAATTTTTTATTAATTTTCTTTTATAATTAATAATTAGTTCTAGAAAAATACTATAAAAAAAAGACTTAATTTTTAAAATCCTTATAGCTTAAAGTTATATATATCTTCTTTATATAACCTTAACCCTATTAGAACCCTTTTTTTTAGAAACTATTAGCTAATTAAGAAAAAAACTATTAATTACCCTATAGTCTATTAATATAAAGAAATTCTTTTATAGAAAAAAACTATTAATAGCTTAATCGATGGTTTTTATAAGTAATAGGGCTTAATTAGAGTTATTTATAATATATTTTTTTAATTAAAATATAATTTTAAGGTATAAAAGTTAGTCTTTAAGGTAATATATTTATATATTAATTAAATAAAAGGAATTATTAATCTTAAAATAATATAAGTTATTTCTTAAAAGAGATAATTAATAAATATATTTTAATTAGGTAGCTTAAGTAAATAAAGGTAAGCTAAATCTTAGTTAATAAAAGAAAAAAAAAGAAAAAAAATTACTTAATAAATTTAATATTTTTCTCTTAAGAAATTAATATTATTTTAATTTTATATTTTTTAAAATAAAAATAAAAAATTAAATTCCTAGGGGATTTTTTATAACTTAATATATTTTTTTCTCTCTTTACCTTTAATAGCTAAGAGAAAGAAAAATTAATATAAAATATTAGCCCTTATAATAATAATAATAATAAGGATTATAATAAGAGGATTAATTTATTATTAAGGTTAGGATTAATAGCTTAAGGTATAGCCTAATCTTATATAATTAATTATATTAAGTAGCTTAATAGTTTTTCCTCTAGTTATATTTCTATAATAATTAGTAATTCTATATATTTTTTTATAATTTATTCCTAGATCTAAATAATAATTTTAGGCTAAATTAATTTTAATTTTTCTTTATATAATAAATCCCTTAGGCTAATATTTTATAAATAGCTCTTTTATTAATAATATTATTAAATATATTAAATAATCTTCTCTTACATAGAGAGATTAAGATATTATTATAGCTATTTATATTATCTCTAGGTCTTAATAAAATTAGCCCTTAGTAGGCTTAAGGCGCCTTAAGGGCTATAATAATAAGGCTATTATTAGCTCCTTAAGCTTAATTATAATTAAGTAGATTATAGCGAATATAAGGTCTTTTAGACCTAGCCTATTAAAATAGCTTAGAGCTAAGGGCTATAATAAAGAGAGAGGCTTAAATTAAAATAAGGGCTTTAATAAAATAGCGAGCTTATTAAATAATATAGGCTTTTAGCCTAAATAGCTTATAGAGTAATTAATTATAATATAAGTTATAGCTAATTCTTAGTCTTAGGCTTAGGCTTTAGCTCTAAAATAGCCTAAGAGGTAAGCTCTTATTAAGATTATAATTAAAAAAGGTATAGGTTTTAATAAAGAATTAGCTTAAATTTAGGTAAAGTTATTTAGGTTAATAAAAAAGAAATAATATATAGGGTTTAATTTTATTCTTAAGAGGAAAAATTCTTATTAGGCTTTAAAATAAAAAAAGAAAATTAATAATAAGATTAATTTTATTATAATACAGGTATAAAAGAGAGTTTAATAAGGTTAATATTATTTAAGGATTATTATAAAATAAAGAGAAATATTAAGTAAAAGTTTAAGCTAAAAGGCTTATTAAATTAAAAAATTAATAAAATTTAGGGAAAAACTTAGGTAAATTAAGTAAAAGATTATAAATAAATTTTAATAAGAGTTTATTATTAATAAGTTTTTATAACTCTTTAGTAATATTTATAGGCTTAGTCTTAGGCCTAAGCTTAATAAGTAATAAAAGAAAAAGCTATAATAATAGATAAAATAGAGATTTAGAGATAAATATTTTTTAAGAATTTTTTAAAGAAAAAAAAAAAAATCCCTAAGAGATTTTAAAGATAGATTTAAGGTTAAGGGTAATAAGGGGGTTATAATACTAATAAGGGGGGTATAATACTAATAGGACTACTTAAGGGCTTTAATTAGCTTATAATAAAAATTAATAAGAAAAGTATAGAGTTAATATTATACCCCCTTTATTAAGTAATCTTTTAGAGCTTATTATAAGCTAGCCTTAATTATAAAATAATAAAATTATATATTTTTATAAACCTAAGAAAAAGGGCTATTTAATAGTATAGGTTATATCCTATATATCGCAAAGCTAATTTTTCTAGAATTATTTTAAGGTATTTTTCTAAAGTAAGAAAAATTTTCTCTAAGACCTTTAGACCTAGGCTAACCCTGACCCTATATAGACCACTGATTACTAAGACCCTAGGACTAAGGCTAACCATAACCCTATACGGACCACTGATGTGTCAAGCCAGGTTCCCCAGAACGTCGGCAAGATGTCGCAGAACAGCAGGGGTATTGTGCTGTCCCTAACGTAGAGTGCGACATATGGTTCGCTCGCGGTTGCCAAAGGAGACACGGCAGAGCCTGTCGGCGACGGAGGCTGTTCTAAGCCAAACCACCATCTTCTAGAGAGATCTACGAGAATGCTCTCTAGGTATGTTCTGAACTTCTCAGCGCTATCGTTCTCTCCACCAGCCATAATTCCAATAGCCCGCTGTAGGAAGTCATTGATATGCTCCACGTCGGCTTCTATTGAGGCCTGACTAAGTCGCAACGCCGCTTGCAACAGCTTCGCAGCGAGGACGTCGCCATCCTGCCGGAGGGCGCCGCTTGCAACTTGCGCCATGAGATTGAAGTTTCTTGAGAATGTCAGCCATAATATCAGCAAGTCAACACTCTAGAAGCTCGCGGTGGTAAGGAAGAGCTGTTTGATAATTTGAGGCGAGCGGTTGTAATTTAAGGTATTGATAGGGAGTGAGGCCGAGTTCACACCCACTCAAAGGCACGGAGGGAGTGGATGTCAGGCCGGCGGCCGATGATTTGATTTGTCTCTGGTTGCGTGAAAAGAAACAACAAAGTAACCACGTTCCAAATTGGTTGTTGGCCGAGACGGGATACTCCTGTCCTGATTCGAAAACTCATAAGTGGCTTGTTTGACCGGCTGCGGAAGATCATTGGATCTGGTCTCAGCAATCTCCGCGGAGGGGGCCAGGTCTGTGTGACTATAACTTGATGCTGACATGGTAGTCTGTCATAAGTGTCATTGCACGATGGCCCTGTGCATTCGCTACGTGGTCAGCTGCCCGCCATTCAGCCCCTGTGTAGCCCTTCGACGGGGCTGTTGTGGCTGCAGTAAGTCAAGCAAGCTGACAATGAGGTCTTCGACAAGGGTTTCCATTAAACCAAGAACGGCAATGGATTGACACAGTTTTCTCTTTCCTCTGAGAGGAGATAACATCGATCATCCCAAGGGGGGCTTAAGCGGTGGTACGGTTATTAGGGTTTGGCCTCTAAACCAAGGCCATTTTGGACGCCTAGTTTTGGCTGTTTAATCCGGATGGTCCACCTACCGTTCTTCTCATAACCCAATAGAAGCTAATTTACACTGGAAGTATCCCTACGAGTATTCACTTGTGATGCCTCGACTGATTTATGAAACACATGCACAAGATTAAACGTAGCTAACTTATGCATAAATGGCATGGAAATTTCGGATCGCGAACATGTTGATCCGTGTTTCCGCGTCGCGTTTAGCGCCAATCGCCATCCCAAGTCAGGGTCGTCTGAGTGGGAATGTGGGTGTGTTAACTAGCAAGTCTAGCGAATAGGGGCCAAGTACGCGTCCAAGCCGCGTCGCGGCATGTGTTGTGTTCCCAGCCGTTCCGGATTTCATACTTCTCCCTCTCTTAACCAGCATTTTATAGGGAAAACTACGTAGTCCCTAAAATGTCAGACAATGGAGAGGATCCGAATCTCCCGCCGCCATCTCAATCCCACTTCGCCAAATTTGAAAATTTTACACCCAACGATGACGCTTCATTCGATGATGAATTTGGCCGCCTCGCGTCGTCTCAGAACTGGATCCCCGGCTCCCAGTTGTACACTCGGGAGCGCACCATTGCAATGCGCCAGGAACTCAAGTTGCACTACTTTTCTCAATCACGGCAACTAGGCGATACCCACGAGCTCACAGAACAAGAAAAACTCGAGGGGTATCAAGATCTATGCCAGGAGGTCCGTATACCTCCAGGCGACTCCATCCCAGAATGCAAGAAGCAATTGAAGAACACCCTTGTCAATATTGTAGACCTGATCGACGCGCGACGGATGAGCAAGGAGGTCAAGGTGTGGCATGATTTCGAAGCGTTCCGCAACTACACGCTCCAGGATGGACACAGGGTAAATATGGATGAGGCTAAGAAGGATGGGGGCTACCTAGCATCATTGCTGCAGCACCTTCGGAGTCCACGGTCGCGGAGAGGAAGAGGTGGGAGAAGACATGGTTTTGGCTCCAGGGTATTTTCGGGGCGGGTAACCAAGAAGAGCCCGGGCTAACGCAACATTGTAACATGGGGTGCATGTATATAAATTGAAAGACATGGAGTCGCGCTCTCGGTATCTCAATACGGGCGATAAGCCTTCTTCGTTCACGCACGGGAACTCGGGAACTTGTTGGATCCTAACCAATACAGCACATCGAGAACAGCAATACGGGCAAGAGGTGGTTGCGCTTTGATCAGGCGAAAGGTAGCAGCCCGTATCCAGATGCCTCCCTCACCTCCTCCCCTCCACTGCCTTCTAGCTCATGTCATTTTTTTGGCCGACTGGCTTCTTATTTCTCATCACTATTGGCTCCTTTTCAACCCCCAATCGACTGTGGTGTAGGGCCCCTCGATGAACGATCCACCTTATCCGGCTCGGCAACAGTCCAACGCTCGTGACAGCGAGAGATACAATGATCCTCATCGATTTTGGGGAAGCTTTCATCGTTAGTGAGGTTCAAACAACGAGTCCTCCCGGCGCCAATCTGTCCATACATGCTATGCAGAGTTTACCTGAGGCAGCATATTTGATCCAAGATTTCATGCCTAGCGCTGAGATGGGCATTCAATGAGTATTGCACAAATCCGGAGGAAATGCGGACACTTCCTGGACTGTCTGATCGACAACTCCAAGCCACCCCGTCACACTTCGGTTTCTGGGAGTGACAGACCGTGCATGATGATGAGCTTGGACCTTTGAACTTTCCCATGGCTATGCAATACATGAGGACCCCGACAAAAAGGAATCTGCCTGTGCTTATCTCCCAAGATGGTAATCTATGCACTCACGCGTTAGACTGCTGCGAAGGGCTCAATGGCTCTGCAATTTCGAAGATGGACGAATCAGATCCATTCGGGATGGGCTTACGCGACTCACGGCGCATCAGTTTGTCAAGACCCAGCTGTTCATGGCCCGCACATGAGAAACAACGTCAAGGCATTACGATCGGAGAAGGCCGGCTCTGAGTAATCGGACAAACATCTTACCATCCACATTTTCTTAGCATAGATTCTCGAGATGTCGACCCTGGGTGTCAACGTACGTTTCGCTAATCATCAAGCCAAGGCATCTTCCAATTTGGTCCACCAAGACTCAACTTTAGCAACACGATATGGATCTCCCAAAGATCTTCGATCTGCGGAGGGATCTTCATGATTTGAAGACCATCGAGCAATCACTGGCTTAGACTATAACCTTTGGTGATGTAGCGTTCAACCCTACTTACCTATCTCACAAGACCGGCTGTCTTCTTCTTTTTGACGAATCAGGAAACGCAGCTGGATTCTCCAAACTTTACACAAGGCGGGGTGCTGATCCCGTCAAAGGCCTGTTAGACACGAGATTTGGCAGAGACGAGCTGGGACTGTTAGGAGACTTGTAAGAAAGGAATCTCTGTGAAATGTTTTAAGCATATCTCCTCAAGTAGGGGAATGCGAATGTGACTTGGATAACCCGGGTTGAAAGCAAGCCATGTTACATTGCAGCTTGACCAACCAGCGAATGAGGGATGGTTTAATATTTGATGCCCCGCTCAGTCTAATCTAAACGAAGAAGGTGTCTAGTCAGAGCTTTACTTTGTGGGGAAGTAGTCGAAAAGAGACTCGGACAATGATCCAAGAGCAGGTCTGCCGATTTCGGTGTCTAATATACCGAACCGAGGGCTTGGCAGTCTTTAATGTTGTATTTATACCTCTGTTTCTATCGTGACTGAGCGCCCCTGCGTAGTCAATGCACCCATAACAACCCTCGTCAGTTATCCCATGCATCCTTTTAGCATTTTCAGCGCCTTCAAGGCCCTGGGAGTGGCCTTGCTTGCTGTCACTACCACTGTCTCTGCTTCTACTACTTCACCCCGCGATTGGACCAGTCTGAAGCTTCTCACCGAAGCTGCCGACTGGCAGGTTCAGATGGTTATCGATGGGAAGAATGCCTCATTGACTGGCTCGCCAAGGGCGTTGACGCGTGGGGTTCGTCAACTGGTGACACCATTCGTCTGGCCGAACTCGACGTACTATCACGATGAATCCTTACTTCCCCATATCGAGGAGATGCTCAATGTCCTCAAAAAAGCTCAGCACAGCGATGGCACATACACTGTCGGAAATCGCCATTCACCACCTGATACGGGCTTCTTGATTGAGGACTTTGGTATAATGGTGCGCATACTTGAGCGAGACGACCACGATGCTTCGGGACCCATCGCAAAGCTCATGCGTGGTATCCTTGTCAAGGCTGCCCCTGGTCTCGCTAAAGGCGGCATTCACACCCCCAACCATCGATGGAAGATATGCAGTGCTTTGGCGCGCATCTCCAGCATCACAGGACATGTTGGCTTGATCAAGAGGATCGACGAGTGGCTCGCCGAAGGAATCGATATCGACGCCGATGGCATCTACTCGGAGCGCAGCCCGAATTACTATTCGGCCGTGTCAAACCCTTCTCTGTTGACGGTCGCTTATGAGCTCAACCGCACCCAACTCGTCGATTATGTTCGCAGAAACCTCGAATTGTCTATTCAACATGCAGAGCCAAACGGCGAGATGGAAACTATCCAGAGCCGTCGCCAGGATCAGGTGCAGCCTGCTGGAGACAACATGCAGAATTTCTATCCTCAATTCCGCGAGCTTGCTCTGCTCGATAACAACGGGCGGTTCGCTGCCATTACCCGCTTGATTGAGAAGCGTCTTGGTCCGCAACTTGGCGACTTCCTGGCCAACGTCATCGAACGTCCCGAACTAGCGGCTCAACTACCTAAATCTGAAGACCCGTTTGTTGATTTTGAGAAACATTATGCTTCAGCGGGCCTTGTACGTGCGCGACGTGGAAAACTGACAGTGTCAGCTTTTGGTGGGTCAGACTGGTATGACCTGGATGGTAAAAAGACCGACTTCTACAACCGCATGGGGTCTGGCCTCTCAACAAACCCGACCATGTTTCGCGCGTGGAACGGAAAGGCGGTGCTGGAGGCTGTGCGCCTCAGTGCCAACTTCTTCAGCATGGGCCATTTCCGGTCCAATGGAATCGAATTGACGGATGACGGTGTCATTACCCTGGGGAGCGAGATCGAGGTGCCATATTACCTGCCCATTCCGGCAGAGCACCGCGATGAAAACGGTACATACGACCTTTCCAAGTCTGTTGACGGTCGCTTCTACGCCATGCTGGACTTTACGAACCGCCCTACTAGTGTGCGCCGCCTCAAGACAGATGTGAAGATGACTCGGACCAAGGCTGGGTATGACCTCGATTTTGAGGTGACAGGTGAAGAGGATGTTGAGCTAACATTTGAACTCACTTTCCGCGAGGGCGGAAACTTCACGGGAGTAGACGAGTTTATTGATAGCGACGAGGTCACAAAATATCGACTTGTGGAAGGAGAGGGAGAGTATAGCCTGGAAGGTGACAAGATCACATTCGGACCAGGGAATGGTAGAGGGTTTATTCAAGCTGATGCTGGTGAGCAGTACAGCTGGCACGGGGGCAACCTTACTCTAGAGGGCCATCATGTGTATATCACAGGCATGACGCCATTGAACTATACCCTTCATCTCGGCTTTGCCTAAGGCTAATGGGGTTTGGCCTATGTTATCGACGTCGTATTATTAATTTCATGGTGTTGACGCTAGATTAAATACTGAAAACGTGCTATGCATGAACTAGTACATATTTCTGAGGCAGTGTTATAGCCGTTTAGGCACAAAAGAACATCCATCCCACATCCTTGCAGTCATTGCTGACAAGCTTAAAGCCGACATTCCCATATTGGATTGAAATGCTTACTGAGGCATGGATTCTGCTTATCTGACAGGCCTTGGCAGTAAGCATCTGTCACATTGGGCATCTGAGATCCTAACCGATGCCGAACATTTCCGAAATCGATCAAGCATACATCCACGCCCAAGTTACTAACGGCTGTTGTCCAACCTACGGCTGTCTGCTCTGGTCTATGTCCTTTTTGTGTTTTGACGAGGTGTTATCTTTTTGAGATGAGATGAATTCGTCTAAGAGGAATGACATCGTTTGAAAATAGTCATCGTCTGAATGGCTCGAAGTTGAAGCCATACGTACGTCTACAGGGCAATCCTTGATTTGATCTCAGATCCCTGAAGCGAACCATCATCAAGCTACCTGCGGATAGTGCTTGATTACAAGGAAATTTGATTATTAAACTATCCACTTACTCGCCTCTCAAAGAAGAAGACAAGGTTTCTAAATTTAACTAAAATCCTTCGACCAGCTTACCGGTTACTGGCTGCCTCCCTGGTCTTGACCCATAACCGAGTAGGCTTATGCGTAACCCCAGATCCTTCTTTACCAGCTGCCACACAGCCTTCCAGCATTTATCCTTAGTTTTCTTTAGTCAACAATCCTGTTGGAACTTTGGGCCATCGCCACAACCAAAGTTCTGCAGGGTCAGTTATCGAAAAGTTGCTTTCTGCCACAACCCCAGGCAATCTTGGGGTTGATTCCAAAGGATGGATTCCTTGGTTGACAAATAAGATTACTCTTGGGGTAGTGGGTCGGACCCTACACTAGAGTTATCGCCTTGATAAAACCGGCTGGCTCAGAATATGATAGAATGTCAAGATGAGTATTTAAGAGGGACCTATGCCGGCTTGAGAACTATACCTTCAGCTCAAGCAGCCTACAGATTTTGACTAGCTGTTACAGTCTTCTATGCCCACATCAGTTTCCTTATACCTTCTCCTTACTTGAGGGCCTTTTTGCTGTTGTTTTCTCTGCCCCTTTGTCAGAATTCACAACATGGCCGCCATCATGTCTTCTATCAAAGTGGTTACTATCATGAGATTCCTTGGGATGGTCGCTTCCTATCCTACTATGCCCAGTCCTCGGGCCGTAGGGGCTGAAGGATGCAGTAGCTCTACTGGTGGTCGTCGTACTCTTTGGCCGCTCACCAATTGGGGCGGCATCGGTTCGCAGCCTGATCCAGCTCTGTACGAATCAGAAGAACTCTACTGGGGTGACGGAAGTAAGTCACACCAAGACACAGGCTTTTTCTCTTAATATGTTACTAACAATCACTAGCGGCGTTTGCCAACATGACTTGTGCTCCCAAGGATGATAATAAGATGCTCAACTTGGCTCGTCTTGGCGATTATGTTGATTCTCTCGACTGTTCTGACTCTGCCCTTCACGTGGGCTTCAAGAACGCTGATGCCCTGAACAAAGCAAGAAGTTCTTGGCTATGGGTGACCCAGGACCCCAACAATGCCGCTGTTGTTGTTGTGGATGGCAATGAATGCGGTGGACCCAACCGCAGGCAGACCTACCTGATCCAGGATATCTCCTATAACGAAAAGTCTCAGCGTGCATTCCTCTCCGGAAAGCCGACACAGTGGAGTGAGGTCATGGAGAAAGCCGAAGTGCAAGTTAGTACTTCGTACCCAGCTAGCGCTGGCATTGGGAAACGACAGGAAACCAGCGGCTCTGTGGACCTTTCGCAGACTTTCAACGTGAACATTGCCGAAATCTCCATCAACGATACTGCTAGGCTTCTCCTAGATTGTATTGACTGCCGTACGACTGGCCGGGTTGATTTCACAGCCAACCTCGATGTTGGCTTCATTCCCCCGAGTCTCGATGTCTCAGCAACACTTACTACGAGGGACGGGGTTGGCATCAACCTTGGCCTGGGCCTAAAGCTTGAAGCAGACCTCACAGATTCGCTCGACTTCAACAGAGAACTTCTCAGCATTCCCCTTGCTGGGTTTGACGTTCCCGGAATCGCAACCCTGGCACCCCTGATTAGTGTGAATGCCGGTGGAAGCATCGGGCCTGTTACGGCCTCCATCGAAGTCCAGTTTGGAGGTGCAGTCACCGCAGCCGATGATAGGGCTCTTCGTATCGGAACTGGAGAAGGTTCCGATAATCTCGATTTTCAGTTCACTCCTAGTGACCCGTCTGTCAGCGGTTCAGTCGAGCTCACCGCCAGCATCGGGCCAGTTTTTATCGCGGCTGTCGAGGCCAGTCTGTTTGGTAGTGACTCCCTTGCGGGATCTTTCGGTATTGACCTGAAAGCACCCACTCTCGAAGCTAGAGCCGCAGTGGAAGCTACCTCCGACCTTGGAGTCTGTGGTGATCCTAATGCCGCCGCTGGTGTAACGCTCTCTGCCAGCGCTGGTGTCTCGTTCGGCATCTTTGGAGGCCAGGGCAGGTCTAATGACCTCCCCAACGAAATCACCATCGCAGAGGTTAATGAGGAGCTATTTAGCCAGTGTTTCCCGTTTGCTCAAGTCGATGGCGGTGACGGCGGTGACGGTGCAGACCGCGATATAAGCTTGGACTCAAGGCTTAACACTCCCAACTTTGATGGCGACGACGGCAACCGACCCTCTGTCGGGACAGTCAACTACCAAAACGTTGACAGCAATAATGGTGTCGCCTTCTGGTTCAACGCTAATGATGTCGTGCTGCTGAGCCCCCTCAATGAAGGTGACACAATCGCCTCGGTCATATTAAACGCCGATGTCAATGCCGCGGCCAGATGCACACTCTTTGATAGTTTTGACCAGGCTCAGGGCGCCGACGGCTGTGGCAACCTTGCAAATCCTATTACCCCAGACCTGACACCGGGCTCTGAAGTTGTTGTGGTTGATGGGAAGACTCATATCTGCGCTCGGTGCGAGGGACTGTAAGGATGCGCTCGGCTTAGGTGTGCTCAAAGTCGTTTAGTTTCTTTATGACAAGATAGATAGAATGCTATGATGTGTCAAGATACTGTGTTCTTGGTTATTGTAGAAGCTGGATTCAAGCAAAACAGTCATGACATGTGGGCAAATATGTCGCTTACCAGGGGCGAGATCTTCCAAGGAAGCGGGACGAGCACATCAAGAGTGGTCCGGTCGGTATCGGTAGTAGAGCCATGAACAGTCAGACTGGCCACGGCGTAACGCAGACAGGCGAGGAATTTAGCGACGGTGAACAAGATACATCTCAAGACACCGTAGGCGAATATGATGCAGAGGGCGGTTTCGATACAGCCAAGAAAACTGTTGATGAAAGCTAAAATGGAATCCCTGAAACAACGACCAGGGCACTGTACTTGATGCTCCGGGGGGGAAGAGGGAGTGGCTGTTGAGTCTGCTGGCAGGACCTGCATCTTGGCCTGAGTCCGGAGCGGCGCCCAGGGTAGTCAGGAGGATTTAGTGGCCTTTGTACTCGCATTTAAGCATCTATATGAAGAGGCCCAGGTATTTAATTCTCTGCCAGTAGCTGTCCTCGTTCGGCAGACGTGGTTCTTATCGTTGCCGAAGAGCGAACAGATTGAGCGGTCCAGTTTCTTCTCGTCTCCTCAAGTGAGAATACTCATCAAGTTGGGAAGTCCGAGAGGAATCAGAGCATGAAGAGAACAAAGAACACCCACTCTCTAGCACGAAGAAGAAGGCAGAGGGTCATGTTAGGGGTTGTTTTCATTTACTGAGAGTGGAAACTACAGTGGATTAGTGCAGGTTAGAGTATAAATTACCCATCAGAAATGACAGGATGATTCCCAGTTGATCAAGATGCTTACATCGTAATTTGTGATGCATATGTATGTGAGGTGCTAGAACGCGAGCGTACCAGCGACCTCATCAGTGAGTGAAGCGCCATTGTGTCTGCTCGAGAGAGGTCGAAGCGGACACGCTACACTGTAAAGGGGCCAAGGTCATGGGAAATGCGCCCCAGGGGCATTACAGTCCTCCGTACGCACAATAGCCGAACGCAAAGCAAAATATAGCTAGAATCCAGGGACAAGCCAGTCCCCTAGAGGCACTGAAAATGACCAGCCACAGTGAGAAACTCACTTGGTGCTTTTTCGCCCCAGAGAAATTCCTGACGCGCTCTTCCAAGGTTCGCAAGTATTAGCAGAGATGAGAAATGATCAAATGAAATGCAAATACTGATTTCTTTTTTTGATATCCCATGTAGCCGTTGATTATGGTAACGCCAATTAGGACATTGCCATTATCAACCACGCTCAAGGGTAAGCTTCGTACGAGAGCTGGGAATGACTCCGCTCTTAACCGTCAGATTTTGGGTCAAAGCTGCAAAGAGGGGACAAAGTTGAGGCCAATGCAAGGCGTTCTACATTGTTGAAGCTAGTAGTTATGAGCAGAGAAAGGCTGCAAAATTCCATGTTATCGCACCAAGTGCAACAACCCATAGGGACTGGGGCTACACATGAAAGTTGTCGTTTTTGTTGTCAAAGGAACTATTGATGGACGCTTCATATCTTCCAACATGCTGGGAGTTGGCACTGCAATGGTTCCTCTCGTTTCTTGCCTTCCCATGCGGGCTCTGTTTCCTTGTATCTTTCGAGGCAAGGTGATGGGCCAAGAGCCATTCTCCCAGGCTCTTCATTTGCATCCAAGTCAAACTCTTGTCTACCGCGACCGATCTTTTTGGAGGCATCTTTGTTTTCGAGACGGAGTATCGAATGAAGTGAAGTGTGTGGACTTGTAGGCAAACTGCAGTGAGGCTGGACACCCCTCTTTGATCCTGTGGTTAACGGCCCTAGAGTGCCATTGCCATCAACCACACCTTAACACTCATCGGCTTGGTTAGCTTGGCCGGCTTCCTATATAACGGCATACCTGGAGCCCCTGATAAAGTCCGTACCTTACGAGCTCACTATCATGTGCCTAGGGTATGTTGCAAGACTCACCACCTGGGCTGACCCGCATGAGAGGCGGATATATCGTGCGGGAGGTGCTGGGATAACCGTGGGAATCCTGGTCACTGATATCGGACAATATTGGCCCACTGGGGTAGAATTGGAACGGATTGGAAGCCTAGCCCGAGGGGATGACGCTGAATCTTGAAGAAATAGGATAGGCGTTTTATGTTTGTGTTTAATGTACTAATTGCGGTAGATGGTTTGCAGTTCTCCCCTGATCATCTCGAGCCTAGAGATTCCTCCGTCGTGAATTTTCCTGGCCTGGCGGGCAAACTCGGAGACCGTGGCCAAGGTGAGCCCTTGGATGCGTTGTAAGTTCACCCTATGCCAGAGGGTCCAAGGAAACTGCAAGCCGGGGAGCTGTTAATCGCCTGGGGTAAGACAAACGGGGATGTGGGCCGGAGATGTATCAAGGCTCTCTGCATTCACGACCTCACCTTTCCTATTTGCTACATTCTTAGAGGTATAAATTCTCTCTATACCCCATCAACTAGTTCTTCGACATGGGCCATTAACCCGACGCAGCCTGAGGGCCGCAGACCTATTTAGCGATGTTTGGGCATAATAAGAGGAATGAATGCATGGAAACTGCTTAAACTTTGCACTCTACTGATACTAGAAGAAATAGTAGCCTCCTTAGTTCCTTTCCCATGGCTCCGAGAGACCTGGCCACATCTCGGTATAAACCTTTTCTCTCCCCGCAGATATACATAGGACGTGCCAGCCTAACAGTCGCCCTGGCACACTTATACTTATGCTTATCTTCTCCCCACAGTTGATTCTGTACATCATGCTCAACATGCCGCCAGTATTTCGCAGGCTGGTAGACGACAACCACATCAGCATAACCCCCTACCTTCTACTCCCTGCCAACTTCCCCCTAGTAGGACTTTTGTCACTCCACGACCGCGTAGCGACAGAGGGGGACCAGTGAGCAGTTTATCTGGTATAGTGATTAACATACTAGGATTGTTCAATTCACCATCTTACCCGGCAGTAACAGTAGTTTCACAAGATGGGCTGGGCTCGGTCCCTACTCCTCGCCTCCACCCTCTTGGTTTCAAAGTTTCATCACTAGCACAGACTTAAGGGCTGGTGATCCCGTTGCAAACTTCACAACTGCTGATAGAGGTGATCGTTGTAACCGCGCTTCTCTTCGAGATGCCTAGCCTTCGCAAGACTCCTGCATCAGCCGTCTCAGGTAGGAATGACTGCCAGTCACGCAGCAGCCTCGTGCTGATGGCCTCCAATGGGCGGGCTTGAGGTGGCTAGGATAAGTCTACACTGACGACGATGTCATTACGTACTCCTTCTTTGCCATTGTCGGCCGCCTCGACAGCCAGCCAGACTAGATCGACATTCTCTTTCATATCTTTTACTAGCTCCGTGCCCGCCTCAAGACGTCAATCCAGAGAAGGCAAGTTCAAGGTGTCCTCGGGAGCTTACTGGAACCAGTGGTGAACCTCTTGTAGGTGGTTCCAGTACGTCTACTATCAAACTCCCGCCAAACAAAGGCTTGTCAGAGGATCCAGCACTGGCAACCCTCGGTGACCCTGTCCTTCCTCCAATTCACGGTTGCAGACTTATTGCTTGGCTCGCATCACTCTCTTAGGCAATAATTCTGATTAAAAGAGCCCAATGACTGGGGCTATATGGACCCTTCAAGAGGGGATTGACCCCTTGTCCCTTTCGGCTCAGGGCTCGTCCGCCCCGTCATCTCGTAGGTGACACTCTCATTCATGGATTACCAGTGCGCAATCAACCCCCTGAAACTCACACCTTGAATATCTGCTATTTCCTCGCCCGGACCCGCACACCCAGGTCGCTCGTTACGACGCATTCAAGCACAGTATAGCCACGCCCCCAGCCATTGCCCCTGGTACTCTTATCCTCGATGGCAAATATAAGCTCATCGTACATGGCGCTAGCTGAGCCTCTGTCAGTGCTCTCAACCAAAGCCTGAACGGGACCATGTTCTCTGCACACCAAGTAGGGCTTGCTGGGCCAGCGCTATCGAAGATTCTGCGGCTGGCCCTCGGCCATTGGACCCGGCAGCAAAGGTTTTGTAGAGGTGATTGCTCGGGCTCATCGGCCACGTCTCTATGTATTCCTACGCCCAAGTCTCACCAAGAGCTGTTAAGGGCCTTTATACCCCAAAGGTCATGTCATGTCCTTCACCCAAAGCCTCCTGTGCCCGAACCGTCCGAGGGCAACCAGAGAGCAACAAAGACCACACGGCGTTGGGATCCAGTAGTCATTGGCCACTTGGGACTCGAAGTCTTTGCTCTATTTGGCAAGGTTACTGCTGCCACGAGTCTAGTGACAGAGTTCAAGTTGCCAGTACCAGATGGACTTTAATGGTACGTGAGGGAACCTAGAGATACACGACGTCTCTTACCCCTACCTATGGGACTATGGGCCTCGTTCTATCTCCTGAATCCTCTTTAGTAATGACCGAGTTATGACTTCCCCGCTCTGGGGGGCCGTTCTTCCATGGGAGTCCTCTCCATCTCGTCTTATCAGGGCTGCTCGCCGAGTTGCCATGCCATTTGTCATCGTTCACAATGGCCTAAGACCATACTCCGCCACAAGGGCCGACCGGTCCTTCAATGATAGGCACAGAGCTGAGAATATGATCTAGTCACGAGTGTCTCTTCTTGCGATCAACCATCTTTCCTCAATGTCCTCAAGATGCATGAATACACCACATCGACAGACTGGTATCGAGGCCATAGCCGCACGAGTCGATCCCCTTCCAAAACAAGGCAGATGTAGGGTTTGTCTTCAGGATGGATCAGCCGCATGAAAGACTGGGTCCTCAATCGTAATGTGTTATATTATTTATTGGAAAGTCACCACTCAGCCAAAAATCGTAGCGCGGCACCTTGGTTAGTGGTGCCTCCCTTTTCATAGCCTCTAACTAATTCAACAATATTCTTAGCTCAGCCGATTCTATCTTCCCCTATTTGTCCGATTGTATCATAGTACTACCCAATATAGCCGCTCACAGGCCTGATGGTTGCGGCACAAAATCCTGGTTCCGTTGGGTTGCTCAGAGGCCTCCCCCGCCACCCGTTTGAGAGCTTGACTAGGAAACTGTGCATAGCACGGATGAAAGCCTAATCCTTTCTGGCCATAACAGTCTGTGGGGCCTCTTAGAGTCTACATATCTCCACCAATCAGATTGTTCCTAAGGCCACGCCCCTTGCTGAAAAAGGCCGCGGTTAGCTCCAGGGCGGCACAGGAGCTACATTTTAACGCCTTGAACAAGCCAACAGATATCACCATCTGGGACGGGTTCGAGCTCTGCAGCTGTAAGAGACCATATCTGCCGACAATGCGCCTGATATGATCGAAAACATACGGCGTCAAATTCGAGGTGGTAGATCGTGAAGTTGGATATAGAACTCGACGTCCTCGTCTAAGGGGATATAGAGAGGTGGTTGAGACAATTGAGCACATGGGCAATGCGGCTCTGGCCGCTCATATTGCCGACCTCGACTTAGGTCACAGCTTCAAGGCCATGGCACACCGTGTATGCTTAACTATGAGAAGTGTGTGCGTTCTTGAACTAACCTCTTATTAGGATCTTGCTTTAAAAGTCCTCGAGGACAAGTTCAATCAGATCATGCCTTGTGTGTTCGCCGATCACATTAACGCCCAATTCGACGCCGACGGCTTGGACCCAATGAGAATGTTCCAGGAAACACACCTTTTCGCGGAGGCATACAAGGATCTTGTTATTGACCCGAAGTTCAACCCATTTGGATCTCGTAGCGACCTTCACTTCGACATGACCTTTCTTTTTGTTTATTAATACTTGACCCAAGGTCCAGGTTTCATGTTGAACAAGGAGGCGACTGAAAGTCAGGGAGTGGCCCTTTTGCAGGCGTGGAAGAAGAAGCATCCTCTTCCTACTAGCCCAGATGGGGCTACGGCTCTGCGCCAACTGTGAAAGGTCTCAGTGCATCACAGAGTGCTCTTCTGATCGCTTCATATCTCCCTAGTGCTACATATTCTCCGACTGGAAAAGCCAACGCAACCATCCAGGACTATGCTATTGCTATGCTAAATGCTAGTTTGGTACCACCCGGAACGGTAACAGCACCAAAAATGCCGCAAGAAGACATAGAGGTGATGATCACGACCAAGACTATCTTTGACGGCGCGGATGTGTCATACTATTACGCTATAAGCCACACTCTTTGGAACCAGTGGATGATTACTATCAATGATAACAGCACGAGCAACTTCTGGGTAATCGGTATCATGGCTGCGGCTGCCCAAGCTGTGAAGACCATCAAAAGCGGAATAGTCTCTACAAACAGGCAGATGTTTCCCAGGATGACACTACAACTTATGGTACAGACCTCGTCAGCTGGTACCATGCAAATGAGAAGGCGGCATTCCTCAAAAGCAACGTCTCGTTCAATAACGTATCAGTCACTCACGTGGATGGCCTAAGCGGGAGCTGTTTCGTCTCGGGAACCTTGGTTGAGACCTCAAACGGTCCCGTGGCAATAGAAACACTGCGAGAAAACGACGTTATTCTCACACGTACTGGGGCGCAGAATCAATGGGGCCTCTATGGTGACGAGATTGTCGAGAGTGCAGCCCCTAAGACTCTTTATGGCTTTGATGGAGGGAGGGCTTTCTTCACCGCTAGGCACCCATTCCATACAACCACGGGGATCCCTAGATCGAAGGGATCCGGGGCGACGGAGACGAAGCCATCGCCGCGGCTTGCGGCTGCGCAAAGCGCAGATTGAGACGTTTGTTGTGCACTTGTTAAGGATTTGGGTGTAGACAAGGCCACTTTATTAGCACTTGTATGCCAAGAAAGTGTGATGGCAAAGGAAGGTGTGTATGCGAAGAAGCCACAATGGCTGAGTGGCTGGTGGATGTAGGATGCTGACAAAGGGCGTCTCACTAAGCTAGAAAAAGTTCCATGGATCTTCTCGATGCTTCGAGCAAGATCATGACCCTTCGATATGGTGAGTAACAGCTTGCGCAAGAACGCGCTGCCTAAGTGCCAATTGCAAAATGTTGATGTATAAATAAATGAGTTTCGACGACCTTGGTGAATTTTTAATTATCAGAATTCGATATCTTCACTGCTCAATCAATCTGCACCAAGCACAAACATCCACTTAGCCAATCAAAGGCCCGAACCATTATCCCAATCACTTTTCACAAGTCACCAGCAAAACACATCAACAAAATGGCATTCTTCCTTCCCCGCACCGCCTACCATATCCAGGCTCCTTTGAACCCACTCTACCATCTCCTCAGGGAACTCGACCAGTCGGTTCAGCAGCCCCAGCAACCACAGCGAAAGCACCAATGCCAGGCTCAACAGAAGAGCCGCACTCCCGCTTCCTGCCCTACCTATCGGGTAAACACCCGCCCATGGGAGCCCCTCTTTGAGGCCCACGATACGGAGGACTCCTTCGTTGTCTACGGCGAGCTCCCAGGCTTGAACAAGGAGCACGTCACTGTCGAGTTTCCCGAGCCTTGCAAGCTTGTTGTTAGCGGCAAGGGTGAGCGATTCACAGATGCCCCCAAGGCAGCTGAAACAACCACTGGACAGACTGCTCTCGCCCCGGTCGTTGAGTCAGACAACGAAGACACCCGAAGCAGGAGCTCTTACCAGGCCACTGTCGAGGACGATGTCGATGGCGACGACTTTGAGGTTTTGAGCCACACATCAGAAAAGTCAGAGACCAACAGTCAGCCAGAGCCTGAAACTCTCAGCGAGAAGGCCAAGGAGAAGCAGACCGAGCAGCCCAAGCAGCCTGAAGAGCCGAGACACTCTGGCTATCGCAAGGAGTTCTCGCGCTACTTCACTTTCCCAACCTATGTCAACCACGAGGCGGTTACTGCCGAACTCAAGGATGGCCTCTTGACCATAGTAGTTCCCAAGGCTACTTCTGGGTCTCATCGTATCATGATCAACTAAAGGATAGAATATTAGTTCATGGGTGTCAAGGGATGGTTTTGATATAGATATGTTGGAGAGCTCTTTGTTTGTTCTGATTTACTTGCCACTTAATAAACTGGCCTATAACACTTCCCTCATTTGCAATTAACGGCATGTATTTTTAATAAGTGAAGAATTTTATACAATGAAAGAAAATAGAATTGCTAGGAAGATTGCTTACCAGCTACTCTTAAATAGCCCTGTAGGACTTTACGCCTATAGGGCATATTAACTGCATTTAGCTTAATTGCTTTTTACCTCTTTGGTTATTAATTTTTAAGTGCCTGTAACTTTTATAGGATAGTAAGGCGAATAATGCATAAGTAGGAAATATAAATCTTAATAGTAAAATTTACAAGCTATAGAACTACTAAGAGTTAAATAATCTAACTCTATCGCTTCCGAAAACTTTAATAAACGGCTTTGTACTTGATAGCACAAGCTTAGCACCTGTGTTACTAGCTGTCGCCGTATGCCACAAATATCGGCTATTTGTGTAAGTGTCTACATAGCTGCGCTTGTACTGGGCCTTCGGGTTCCTGGTGCATCCTGGATGAGATCATGGTGAGGGTGTGTGTGTGTGTGGGGGGCGGAATTCATATTGTCTCTCACCCGTCCTCCTGTAGAGTAAAAACATGGATCAAGAGACTTCTACTAGCTTTCTCAGAAGACTACCCAGGCTTTTCATTTACCATCGTTATCATCCTTGTGCCGCTCAGATACCCAAGACTTGTGCGGATGTATTGCCATACCTAGCCTCAGAAAGAGCTGCACATACCACCCAACTGGGACTGCCCCAACGCGAAGACTCGTATACGCTTGCCACAGCCCTGCATGAGGCTCGTGGACTTTCATGCATTTATGTGAGAGGAATATCTCTAACCCATAGTTCTTATGAAGTGCCTTCGTATAGAGAACTGTAGTCACAGCCCAGGACATCTCTATCTTTGCTGCAAGGCCAGATGAAGCGACTATTTCATAGCCTCGCCCAAAATTGTGTCGTCACTTCTAAACGTATCCTTCTGGCGGTTGGGCCACTCGGTACTTGACGTAGGGCAAGCCCCGGCTAGAGGCTGTCTGGGGTCGGTAAACATAATGCTCCCCGGTGGGCAGCCATCCCAGGTACCATACATTCTGGCCGCCTAGACTATGACACCCTTCCATCCTCCGGGACGCGGTGAAGTCTGCGTCGACCTGGCTCTCGACCTTTGAGCTCCCCAACCAAGACCCAGCTTAGCCTTCTCGGCTTTCTTACATAACCAAGGTTAGGACGAAGAACTCTCGCCAAGTTTTGGCTCATCCAAGGCCCTCAACAGCTCCAGTCCAGCATCCTAAGGCCCGCCACAGGCCAAGATAGGTATGCGTCCAGGAAGTGCACTCCGCCGGAGGATTTTACTTTGCCAAACCCAGAAATTCTCTCTCTCTCTCTCTCTCTCTCTCTCTCTCATATGGCATGTGAGATTCAGTAGCCAAGGGCGAGCTCCAAGGCACCACAGCAGCGAGTAGGGAGCTTGATTCTCGAGCCAGGGCTTGTAGCAAGTCAAAAGATAAGGCGCGGCTAAGTCACTAAGCTTTCTCGCTACTTGCGGCTGTTTTCTCTCGTTGTCTCGTTGTAACATAGGGAAAGGGCATATGAAGGGGAGAGACCTCTTGGATGACGCTCTCAGCCGAGCGTGGAAGCGAAGCTTGTGAGCTTGTGAGCGAGATCTCTGATACGTCCAAGGTGTATGAGGGCCTGAGATATTAACCATAGGTCTGACCCGATAGTTTTGGGAGATTTAACAAACTTGGGTGGCATCGCTGGTTGAAGGCTCAGTTAGTCCCGAGTGAAAGAAGAAACAAACTTAAATCATACATAGATAAGTAGAGAGGCGATATGTCACCCGCTGCGACACTTCTGGGCACTTGATGTTTTCGTTCTACTTTTTTAACCATCAAAGTAACGAGATTCTCTACTAACAAAGGCTTGGGGGATTGAGGGAAGCAAACCAAAAGGGGCTGTGGGCGTAAAATTGGGTAGGCAGAGCTCAAAGCCCTTTCGTTCGGTAAATAGGCGCCGCTTTTTTCTTGTATCAGCTGGCAAGGTTATGCCCTCATATATCGCCCCGGCTTCAATCATGGAATAGACTGCCTAGCAAAAGGGAGAGATTAGCCACTCCATCTGGAGAACAATGCATATACGGACTGGCCGGCCGCGAGGGAAAGGAGAAACTTGAGAAGTGTGAGCAAGGCCCCGTGAAATATAACGTGTTTAATATTGAGGAGTATGAGGTGTATGACGGAGACGAGTAGGTGAACAGTACATATTTGAATATGGGTAGGCGAAAGAGGTAGTGTTGACATTGAATGACGCCAAGCGCGGCCAACTGTACGCTTATTTACATCTCACCCTATACACGGACTTTTGCTTCATTTGAGAGAATTTTGCATCTAGGACACGACTTTCGTAGAGAAGTAAATTAACAACTTGTTGTTCTCCTTTGCCTGTCTTTCTTTAAGACGCGCTGTACTTGGTTGATAGCGTCACGTCGCCATCAGACCATCTGAATCTTCTTTTTTCCTAATCTGTATTTATCACCCAGTGAGTATGATAATAACCTCGAGGAATACAAGCCGTAGATTGGTGATACTGAGAGGATAATGTCATAAGGATAGCCATGAAAGGTCTCTTGTGCCTTTATTTGCCCCCTTTCACAAGTCAATGAATCATTGTTAGGTCTGTCCAAGAGGCAAACGAATATGAGCTTTAGCACTTACCATATATACTTTGACTATGATAGCTTGTCTTACAGCCAACGGGTCGGGATTTGCGGTTTTATTTTCAGAGTTGAATATGTTACTCTCACTTCTCTCGTACGTTGATAAGTGGGAGACTTCGGGGGTGAAGTGTGCTATCGTGTACGCGCCGTCTGCAAAGTGAAGAGAGCAAATATCTGTTCTTTATTATAGTTGCAGCCCGGCCCTTGATGGGTTAACTGAGCCCGAAGATCGAAGAGAGCAAAACGGCCGCTGTGCCTTGGAGGACTTAGTGAATTCCTGTCCTTCTATGGGGGGTTCATCGATGATTCTCTATCGTGAACGCTGGGATGTTGTCGTCTAGAAGGATGAGGATAAGGGACTGCTCACGCACAGGCGTAGCTCGGCAGTATTGGAGGAGTCGAAGTGAGAAAGGTGATCGGGGAGACAGGGGTCGAATATGAGAGAAGCGACGAGAAACGAGCAGCGGACTTAGACGCAAGCAGTGTGGTTAAGATATATAAATCTCGCTTTGGTGGGAGGAGCATTGCGGGAGGATAGAAGTCAGGATGGAGCGAATTAGTGTGCATGTGCCTGTATATGAATTAGTTAGTATTACAATGATAGATAAACAGATGTATAGGAGGCGCAAAGTCTGGATATAAGACCCGAGTAGGAGAATGCGGGATGGTGAAGTTCCGGTAGTTGCCGGGACCATTCGGTCACGTGATAACGGCGGACACCCGAGCAGCCCCACTAAGGAGCGGGGTTCTCGTTCCGGCCCGGGCGTCGTTGGCATATGCCCCGGAGCTCCGCTTTAGAGCGCTTCGCCGGAAAGCCCGACCGGACCGCTCCTGTCCACCCACTAGTTATTGCAAAGCTCCTCAAAGAACCACTCATCCAAAGCGATCACAGTGGGCTCTTCGCCCCCCGAATCGGAACTTAGCTAGATATCATGTCAGTCCTGCACGCCATCGTCCTTTCTGACAGGGCCTAGCCGCGTCCATGAGGCCGGCATCGTCTATTACGTAGATGGATTTTCTCCCTTCATCGTAGAAAGACTCTGTTTCCCGAACCCGGTCTTATTAAGTTGATAGGACTCGTGGGCGAAACATCTTTATTGATGATGCCAACTCTTCTAAAGACACATCTCAGATACAAGATCAAAGAGCGCGCAGTTGGTGTCCTAGTAACACAACCTGGAGCTCCCTCTTGGGCTCAGTCTTGACCCACTCATATTTCTTCAACGAGTAGTAAATAGACAAGGCCATGAGCCTTCACATTCTTGGCCTATCTAAAGCTTTCCTCGCTAGGCTTTCTAGCTGAGGAGAAATTTTCGTCTCCCAATTCCAGTCTAGGTGTATTCATCTCACTCATACGTGATGCGCTTGATACTCTAGTTGACAGCTACCGTCAACGGCCTACACTGTGCGTTTACCTCTGGGCGCACTCCCCACTACGCGGAGGCCACCATTTGGACTTGAAAGGGGTTGTTGTAGTCAAGCCTGATGATTGGCCGGTGTCCTAAGAATGGTTTCCTGCGAACATTCTAAAATGCACAACGTTCTCAGGAGTGTTCTGGTCGAGGTGGGAGGACCCTCATACAGCCAAAGCGCTCTCATCAAACGTTGATCGGTAGTTGTTCCCGCACCGCGAGCATGGCCTAGACGAGATGAACAAACGCAACATCTGACGTTTATATGAGAGAAAATGTTCGAACCTGATGTCGTGGAAAAGGGGATGATTCCTAACGTCGTGATATTCAACCGTCGAGTCAGTCGTTGTGGCCCACACTGCGCTTACAAGCTAACGAGATTCCGTCTTAACATCTAACGGGCGCTAACGTGTCCAAGGACTAACACCTTAGATTCAAAGGCCTTTAGAGTTATTGTATCTTATATATACACGAGAAGCCAAATGGTTGACGTTGGCGGTCTTGTCTTGATACTCTCTGTGAAGGATATCACCAGGCTTCATCTTTTCTGAGGGCGGCGGCAAAGTTTGAGGGCCAGAACTTCAGGACCCACGCCAAACCTTCGTTAACACCACTCAGGGAGCCTTGCTGTTTGCTCGATTGCGGAGAGAGCTCTTAATAACGAATTACTACACCGCCACCGTCATTCAACGAGGGTGGAGGAGTTAATCGCTCTTGATGAAGCTGCTCGCTCAAGTCAGTAAGAGTTAGCTACTGTACAAACCCGAGTTCTCATGAAGTATGTAGCATAAAAGACCATCGACTGCATTCATCGAATGCCTGTCGTTTAGATACAAGTACGGCGCACGAATACCAGAATAGTCAGCTACCCGTCGACCACGTTGGCTTGAGACTTGCCATGCGTTGTGAGGCATCCAGTTCTCTATCAGCCCTTGTTAACGGGCATCTTTGTCACATCTCCTGTCGCAGGAAAGACAGCTTTTCTAGTTCAGTAACAATGCGCGAAATTGTCAGTCGATCAATCGTCTCAACCTCACCTGCATGGCAATAAGCCAAACCATAAAACAGGCAGCCGCTATAGGCAGTGGAACAGATCTATTTACAAACGGACCAATGTGTATGTGTGCCCTGTTTGTCTCAGCTGTGTTTTACTGATTATCTCAGGGCAATCAAATTGGCTCACCATTTTGTCATGTCCAGTAGACATCATTCACAAGGCCAATGTTATAGCAACGGCTCCAACTACTCCAATTGCTAATCATTCCCATTGGGAGGCTATTGGCCACGAGCATGCCTCGGACAGCCGTGGCGTGTGAGTAATTCCATCAAGGAAGGTTCCATCTTCCTTCACCTAGTCATAATTTCTGACTTAATGATGGCCACGACGCAAACGTACAAGTATTCAAGTCCTGCTGTACTCCCATTGAGTTGCTCTTGACACCTTCATTATCATCCTCATCTTCATCCGGCTTCTGAAAGTAACAACGCCCTTCAGGCCAGTGGGGTTGGCATAAATGAGTGCTGTAACCACGCCCCCAAGGATTCGGCAAAGCCCTCTTGACGAGACTCTAGAGTCCCTCGTACAGGCGAAGCTTGGGCCGGAGTCGCTGACATTAAGAGTTGATCAAGGCAAAGTTATGTATTCGGGAAATCCAAGTCTTTAACCGACTACACAACAGATCTGAGCACACTGATCCTCGACTTGTCAATGCTTCGTGTGCATACTTATATGGCTTGCATCCTGACCCTTCTTTTGTTGGTGTTGTCATGTTTGCCGAGTTGGTTTGTTTAGCAAAGTTGCTCGCTCTACCGGACGAGTTTCGTCTTTGGGGGGCCTCGGGGGTCATTCGTACAGTACTTGGCTTGCCACAGTCTGAATCGAGACTCAAATCTCCCTAGCCGAACTCAGTGAGAGTCATATGTGCCTGGCTCTGCATGCCAGCCGTGATTTCGCTTTGGAGGTTCAGATAAGTTACAAGACTTGAACCTGCGAAACACGTCGTTGAAGTCGTAACCGATATCCTCGGAGCACGAATTAAAATACCAACTTGGAAGATTCACCGAGGTCGAATTCACCGTCTTCTAAGTTTCGCTTCAGGGCCCTGTCAAGTTTTGCATTCCACTCTTACCATACCTACGTTTTTAACACCATCAGCAGCACTACAGTAAGCAACTGAGACTTGGCTGGGGCAGCAGCAGGCTCGTGTGCATTATATCGAAATGAACTAACTGAATCAACTATCGCCTTGCCAGTCTCGGAAAGTCATAAAGAATCGAGTTGTTCTTTCGCAAGCTGAGCGTTAGGGGGTCCTTTGCGATACCGGCCACCGACCTTGTACCTCTGGCCAAGTACCGGAACCTCCGAGAAGGAACCACGGATGCCTTTAAGGCGCGCGATGAAGGACCCAACGCAATTTTGATGAGATGTCTAATAGAGCATGCATTGCCTGCAAACGCCGCGGATGCCCCTATGTCAGCCATAACTTTCCAGATGAATCGCCCGAGGCCCGCCAGCCCAATACATTAAACAAGGAAAACTTCGACCAACTTGCAAAGCTGGTGGTACAACTCATCGAACGTCAGCTGGGGAGCTTAACGCCGCGGTAAACTAAACCATGAGATATTTACAACAGTCCAGCCGGAGATTCGAGCCAGGATGGCAAACCTGCAGCTCTTAGATATGATATATCTAAAGTGAGGTATCTAAAGCTCGGGACTGGTTCTGAGAAAGGCCCTTGGAACCGAGGGCCGACGTTAAGCTCCCCCGGACCAATTCCAAACCATCCAAGCATCACCAATCTCGGGAGCTTGCCCACTAGTCACATGGTCCTGGCCTACCACTGCCCCGAGACAAGATCATTTTCAGCCAGTGTATTGGCCAGTTGCCAGTTTGGCGGTTGTGGGACTCCCGAGCATACCCTTGACATGGACGATCCTGCTATCCATCATGTATTGAAGGCCAAGAAGATGATGGGACCAGCTGCGCATAGACAGGCCGTTTAGCATGGCGCTAGAGCGCTGACTGGCAAGCTGTCAAGACATCCAGAGGTCGTCAGGTCGGCCGCAATATGAAAGAACGTAATTCTAAGATAATAGCAGAATCAAGACCTAATGCCTTCAGATACCGTACGCCTCTCCCTTCGTCGCGTCCCTAGCGAGCCTATCATTCATTATCTAGGTTGATCGGCGCGGTCTATAGGGTAGGTACGTAAGTAGGTCAATTGCTCGGTCAACCGTAATCGGCGTAATCAGCACGTGATCTTCCCGCCCCACCATGCAACAATAATAACAACAACAACAACAACAACAACAACAACAAGTGAAGCATCATTAATTGAGGAAACCATCATTTTGGACAGCACCGACGGTCACCCACCTGGCGCCATGACGAGCGCCGCAATCACGCCTCAGTTTCGTATCCTTGGATGGAACATTCATCTTGTCTGTGGCCCAGAGGAGGATCATTTTGCAGGCTTATATCATCCACCCAGCAGCAACAGCTTGACCTACGGCGACATCATCAACGAGTTGTGTCTTTGCTTCAATATCACAGCGTCTGGTGTGACAGATGACTCCTGGGGTGATGTTGCATTTGGATACCTTGGTTCGGTGGGTGCAAGCCTGCAACCACTTGGTGGACCTGCGACCACAGCTACTCCCTCATCGCCCAGGTTGATTCACGGACAAGAGCTTGACCAGTCTGTTTCAACACCCCCGGGTGATCCCTCTGGTGAACAACGGCCGCCGATTGTGCGTCTTCACGTCGTGCGTCATAAAGATTGCAAGATCGCCGCCGAGACATCGCTGAAGGGACATCTGCAAGGTAAGCCGGGTCCTTGTAGTATGAGTCTTTACAACTTATCATGCCTTGCTAATACACCCCCAGCTGGATGTGCCAAGCACATTCCTTATCCATCCCTCCGGCGCGATGATCGCTATCTTCCCCCCAACAAACCATCCACTGATTGCCGCTTTTCGCGATTCCCATATCGCAAGACAATCCGCGCCCGGGGTTCCCAATCTCCTCCGAAGCGTTCCGCCTCAGGCTCCGCGTCGCCGACTAAGGATCCGGCGTTGAACCAAGTCGAGGACGTCACGGATCTTGTCGCCCCGCCAGACTTTGACATCCCCATCGAAACGGCCCGGCAGACCATGGCCTCGTTCCGCAACTCATGTTTGAGCGGCACTGCCAGGTGTGCCATCACAGGCAAAGGTCGGTCCTGGTATATGAATCCAACCGTCGGTCTTGGAGTGCAGGCATGTCATATCGTGCCTCAGCAGCATTACCACGTCTACCCGGTCCCAAGCTCTTTCCCAGGGGGTAGATACGATCCTCGGCGACTACGAGCGGCTTGGGAGCGAACATGGTCCGCCAAGAACGGACTGTTGCTGTTCAGCCATCTGCACGAACTTTTCGATGCCAGGCTCTTTTCCATCCATCCCGACACCCTGCGGATACGCGTCTTTATGCCGTATGATGTGCTCCTCGACTACCACGGTGTTCTTGCCCAGCTATCTCCAACTGTTGATCGCAGAGCGCTGCGTCATCACTACGACATGTGCTGTATTGAGAACATGGCTGCCGACATGCCCCTGTCAGAGGCTGTCTCATCAGAGCTGCCCACAAGACCAAGTGCTCCGGGCGCTGTTTCGCCGTTTGAGTCTGGCTCTCACACTCCCATCCTTACAAGTGTGGCCAGTCCTGACGATTCCGGCGCCACTGGAGATCCTTCAAAACGGCACAGGAGAGACCCAGATCGGCCCATTGATGTGACGGAGGCCCTTGAACTGTCGACCGGCCATTCGTCTACTTCAAGCTCTGTTCAATATTGGTCTGGTTCGCCTATCATGACCTCGCAAGATGGGTACTCATCAGAAGAGGCCGAAGCTCCTCACCGCGATAAACGGCGCCGCATCGCGGACAGTGACAAGGCTGTCCTTTGTGATGACGAGGGGCAGGCCCTCTATCATTCTACCACAGTGTTGTGGGAGGGTAGCATCACGCCGTGGAATAGCCATCAGTTTCTGGCTGATGTAAATTATGAGTTGCTTAACTTTAAACACAGTCGTAGTCCTTAGCATGAAATACTCCGGGTCTGGCGTTATGAGATAGAGCCATGAATTGATTCTATCATTTAATGAAGAACATCTTACTCCCCAGAACTATGACGCCGAAACTGCCTCGCTGGTGAAAGATGCCACTGCTTATCTAGGCAGTATTGGCTGTACTTGAATTGAGCTGTCTATCCTATCATTTCTACTTGAGTGCTCGATCTAGGCTGCGACTTTACTGCATAGGCTCAGTGCTTGAGGATACCTTTAATGGCAGGGGATAGTTACGTAGGATCTCATGCGGACGGGCCGTCGGAAATTTGATATAGTAAGGCTGAGAATGGATGGACAACAGACAATGCTTGCGACAGTACGGTCATTGTTGTGTAGAGTGGAAGGTGTGTTACGTAGTGGCGGGATGGGGTAAGACAACGGCGAGAAGGCGCTGGAAGGTCCACGCAGCAGGCAGCATGTGGTTACTGGTTCAAAAGCATTGTAGGGAACTAGTGGTCGAGGGTACAGGGCTTTATGTGCTGTTCGAATCGGATGAATGGTTTCACTTGAGCTGTTGCCACACTTTAACGCTTGACTCGGCTGAAAAGGATTCAAGGGTGAGCCACGAGCTACAGCGGTCTTCAATCAGCATTGCCAATCATCTGCAAAGGTAGAAATGTGACTCAAGTCACCTGGATAGTGTTAGCGGCCTCTTTGAGACTCTCTCGTTGATCTTCAACGTCCCGTAACAGATGTTTGCGCCGAAGTCTTGCAAGCCGGCGCATAGGGTCTCCCCACTGCCAACAAAAGCTTCGCGGCAGCTGTATTACCACCCTAGTTTGCTGACAGGGAAAAGATATAAGAAGGCACCTTACATGAGTCCGGGGCTACAAACGCTCCCTCCACGTTGCTCAGATGTCTAGCGCGATATGTAATTGCCTCTGGAGTGATAGGGAGGTTTCAGCCAACCTTTTGAGACAATCTTCATCTACGGTCCATTAAGTTTGCTGAGTTGTGTTAATGACGCCTCCGAGGATGGACAACAACCTCCAAAGCGCCTCTACAGAGCAATTGGCTCCAGGCAGCTCAAATACCTCAACTCGTCGGTTGGATTTGAATCTCAGGAGCCAAATGGCATAGCCCTTTTTCAACACTGAAATTAGCGTGTGTAGCTTGCAGCCACCACAGCTTAGTTGGCGTCTGGTCCGCCAATTACTACATCTATATAGTACAGGTCTATAGTTGCCCAAGGTAGAAACACGGTCATTTCGAGTCCAACTCAATGAGAAGGGATTGAAAAGGGATACCAGGAAACAGAGACAACCTCCCTCTGCACATAAATAGGTTACAGACGATAACGGAAACCCACCGTCTTCCAATCAGTCACATCCTCATAGTCCTCCGGCCTCAACTCCACCTCGGCAACTGCCTCAGCCACATTTCTGCCATTCAATGCTTCAGGGACCTTTCCATTCGCCACTACACCCGCCGAGCGAGCACTGCCCTCGAAGCCTTCTTCTCTCGAGCGCTTTGCATTGAACCATTGCAGATAGAACCGCAGTGACAGTACCACAACCACGACAAGTGCGTAGCATACCATGATGGCCTGGAAAGCCGTCCTGTACTTCGGCGCCTCTGACCTGCGGAAGAACTGCGGTCCGGCTATATTACCAGCGCAGTATGTCAGGAAGAGCATAGCTGTTATGGTCATGCGCTTCGTGACGCCACGGTAGTTGGCCTGCACGAGTGACATATTCAGAGGCATGGCCGCGGGACCCGTCGAAAGCAAGAAATAGGCAAAGAGTTGGACGCCGTGCGGTACCTGCTCACGTACGTAGATGATAGCCGAGCCTACAACGGGAGGAACCACAACGCAGAGGATGAGCAGACAGTTGAGCGTGTGGTAGCGACTGGCCAGCCAGCCTGTTCCAGCGATAGTACTCGCCGTAATGACTGAATAGGGGATATTAATGAGGGTGGTTTGCAGACTTGTAAATCCGAATGACGAGATGACAATGTTGCTGAAGCTCTGCGTGCCACCGTTGGGCATTTGAGTAAGAAGCTCGATAGATACGATGAACCAAGTCTTGGGGTCCATAAGACACTCCTTCACTTGATCCGGTTTCCAATGAGAATTCTCAGTGCTACCTGTTCCAGCAATAACGACGCGGTCGGCGGCAACCTTTCGCTCCTCGGCGGTAAGGAACTTGGCTTTGGAAATAGTATCAGGGAGGAAAAAGAACATGGGTATAGCCCAGACGGTAGTCAACACTCCGAGGATGATATACATCCATCGCCAGGGGCGGATATGGTCGTCAATGTGGCCGATGCCAAAGGCTAGAAGACTAGAAACTAGCCCACCGATAGAGTTACCCGCGAACCAAATGCCGACACGGACGGGCATTTCGTCACGAGTATACCAGGTAGAAGTCAAGAACATAAAGGCCGGAGTGATAGTAGCCTCGGCCACACCCAGTAGGAAACGCACAGCCATGAGACCGCCGAAATTGCGACATGCTGCCGTCAAGGCTACCACGGCACCCCAGAACAAGGTATTAACCGTGAGGTACTTGGCTGTCGGTAACCGAGCAATGAGAATAGTGGTAGGATACTCCCAAATGAGGTATCCGAAGTAGAAGATGCTAGAGACCCAACTGTACTGCTGGCCTTCAAGGTGCTACAACAATAAGTTAACCAATAGTTCTATGCGACACAAGACCGTCAAGTCCAACTCACATTGTCTTCGCGAAGGCCAAACACTGCAGCGCTCGAAAGGATCGTCTTGTCCATGAAGTTGAGCATGTACGTGACGAACAGCAGCGGGATGATAACGCGGTCGATCTTCTTGACAACCCGGTAAGCCGTGGTGGCATCCGGGGCAATGGCCATTTCTGCGGCGGTATCCGTTCTGCTTCTGACGCAAAATTCCGAGTAGAGTTGATTGCCTCGAGCCACTCTCGTATGGAATGGAATGGAATGCCAGCTCCCAGAAACGGGGAGGTCGGCCGTCAACAAGTAAAGTACTTGATCATCGGCCCTTAGTTTTGTTGCCGACCTTTATCTCGGCCCTTGCTTGACCTAGAAATAAGCCCGAGATCGGCTCGGTGCAGATAAGCATCTTGAAAAAATCTCTATCCACTGTATCCTCTTGACAATACTCTAGTTTTCCACTTTTCCCCCACTACCGTCATAATGTTTTCTGCTAACGGTACTGGCTTGTGGGCCGTTAGGCTTATATTAGCTCTATCTATACTAAGGCAAGCAGCTATCTGATAGCATGGATCGAGTGAGAGTCGGAGAATTGGAGTAATCGCCATGATTGGCCCAGATCTCTGCTCGTCACCCGATGAAAGTCTTCGGGCAACTAAGGAGATAGGGCAAGCCAAAGTGATGGGGATAGTGATAGATAATTCGCTTCTGGGGCTAGAGATCGGAGATCGGAGATGTCCGCTGTCCAACGCCGATCGGTCGCTAAACCGCGCAAAAGGAACAAGATGCGCACACCATTTCTCACAACCAGAGTAGCAACGTGCCCAGTCTCAGAACACCAACATGAATGGTCTTGTTGTATCACCGTTCATCGCAGCCTTGCCAAAGGTCGAGCTACACGTCCACATCGAGGGCACCCTTCAACCAGCCATGCGATGGCTCCTTGCCCAACGAAACAACATCCCCCTGAAATGGAGGGATCAGGAATACAAAACATACGAGGAACTCGTTGAGTCGTACAACGTCACCTACAACCACCGCCCTGAGATGGGCGGCCGCAAGGATGTGCCAACCTTCCTCGAGGCCTACTTTGCCGGGTGCGAGGTTCTCTTGAAGGAGCAAGACTTTTATGACATGGCTATGGACTATCTCAAGAGGTGCAAGGCCATGAATGTTCGCTACGTGGAGCCCTTCTTTGACATTCAGGCTCACACTCGGCGAGGTGTCGACGCCGAGGCTGTCCTCAATGGCTACTTGCGCGCCCAGCGGGATGGAGCAGACACGTACGGCGTGCGGTCCAGCTGGATCTTCTGCTTCATTCGCGACGAGCCGGTAGAAGACGGCGAAGCAGCGTATCGAACTGCCATGCCGTGGGCCAAGAGTGGTCATGGGCTCTTTCACGCCGTTGGTCTCGCAAGCAACGCCTACGAGCGTCCACCGATTCTATTCAGAGATGCCTTCAAGCAGGCCCAAGCAGATGGGCTGCGCATCACTACGCATTGTGATTTCGGGCAGAAGGACACCCACGAGCACATCCGCCAGGCAATATTCGAAATTGGTATAGAGCGCATTGATCATGGGCTTGATGCTCTTGATAAGGATGAGCTCATCGACGGTTTGTTGGAGAAGGGTATCGGTCTGACTCTTTGTCCACATGCCTACCACCGAAGGACAGCGACTGACGTCCTGTTCCCCAAGCTGCGACAGTTGTTGAACAAGGGTGTCAAGTTTTGCATCAACAGCGACGATCCTGTGTATATGCATGATGTATGGATCGATGGTAACATGGAGAAGGCATACCACTATGGTGGACTGTCGGAGGCCGAGATGGTACAGCTGGCGAGAAACGCTGTGGACATGTGTTGGGCAGATGAGGATGTAAAAAAGAGCATGTATGCAGAATTACAAGCCTTTGACATAGCTCGCTCAACTCAAAACGAGACAATCAAAGCGCCTTAGCTACCCCAAGGCCGTAAAATTGAAACCCTAACTGTGCCCACTCACCGTCAAGCGTTCTGTTGAACAAGTACCCTCTTGTCACGGGAGAGGAGTTTGCGAGAAATGCGATGAATGGGAACTACAAAGCCTTACAGGACAAGCTATGACTTAGGGAAAGTTCTGGGATTAGTGCATAGATACAAGACCCAATAAGTTGCGAGAAATCCAGAGGTGCGCCGCACTTTCTGCACTGGTGCCAAATATTTCTTTAAATCAACCGGCAGAGTATTTATCGGAGTCGGTCTCTAGGCAGTGGCGGAGAGACAAGCATAGAAGGTCCTGAGTCGAAGGTGCCTCATCGGTAGGCCATCTCGTCGGGCCGATTGCGGGTATGCAGTGCTCCATGGAAGCACCAAACAGCTCCATGACCCCATCCACGGCGTCAGGTTGACGAGAAGTTGCATAGTATTCCCACGATGGTTCATTCTAGATTGCAACCGCGAGGCTATGATCTTGTTCAGACGGCGTGAAACCTATATCTCGCTTCGACCTCCTCGGACTCTGTGTCAATGAGCGAGTTTCAGCATGAGATCGGGCATAGTTCGTCTGGGCCGTGATGGTCGATGGTTGATCCGGGGCACTCAGAGGTTGCTGTCGGTTGTGTCCTGGACTGATTTAGGCGGTTCTGGAAGTTTCTGTGGTCGAGATCTTGTCCGTGTAGCTATCATCAAATAGATGGTCTTCACAGTTGAAGATTCTGTTGATCGAGTCGTCATGCGTTGCGAGCATGACAAAGTTGGTATCCAAGTCCAGGTCAGCATCTTGGCCAAAGGCCACCCCGGGCATATGTCTCGCCGTTGTAGGCTCTTGCAGCATGAGGTCTTCCAGCCCAGAAAGCCCAATGGGTTCCGAGGGCTTATGGTTCATATTCGGCTCTTGATGGGGCGCCAAATGATTCGAGACGTCACTTGTAGTATACAATGAATCCGCGATGAAGCTTTGGGAGCCGGGATCGTTATCTCGGTTTACGTCGCCGTTGGGGCTCGCGCAGCCATGCGACGCGATAGGAGGCCGACACAAATATCTATCGATAGGAGAGCGCCTAAATAAGTGAGATTAACGAAGGGATAGTAACTAAAAAGGAACTTAGATGCTTGGTAAGAAATAGAACCGGCCAAGTCTTGGTCGCATGAGTCTCCCTTAGACCAAAATCCCACACTCCTCGCCTCAAAATACAGCAGGGATACCGATTCCCAGTTCTATGGCGTAACAAGCCTCCTGCCAGACCGGTCATCAGTCTTGCCCTTGACAGCCTCTCCAGAGGATTGTATGCGGCCTCTTAGCATCGATAGGAGCACAAGGCAAATATTCTGGGATGCCCTTGTCTCTTATTCTACCATCCCGAGACAACAAGAGGCGACGCTTCGCTCCGACCCAAGCATCACCTCCAAGATCGACTTTGACCAACTTGACGGCGATACAGCATTACATCTTCTGGATCTCCACTAGAACAGGCAACACCTTTCCTACCTTTTAACCTATTGACCAGTATCGCAAAGCCATTGCGGCAAAAGTGACAGATACCTTTCAACAGGTACCGCAGTTATTCTATGTTACATCCTTCGTCACAACCAGCGATCGTAGACAATCTCTTCAGGGGAGGAGGGCCCTACGCGAACAAGCTGCTTCTCAGCGCAATCTACTTCCAGAGCAGCCGTTACAGCGACAGGCTCTCGTTGCGGACCAATCCTCGGGATCCCCAGACACACAGAGAAGCATTCCTGACGAGGTTCAACGCCCTGATGGGTCAGCACTTTGGCAAGGCCACAATACCGAGAATAGTGGCGCTACTAACATGTGATATATGTCTTATTCCTAATGGATAGCAGAGTACTAGCTGGATATATTGCGGAATTGCGTATCCCATGATTACGGATCTTAGGCTATATCTAGACTGCCTCGCAGATGCGTCAACACCTAAATCCGATCATCGATAGCGAAATCCGAAAATACGCCTATTGAGCCGCATACGTCGGGGACAAAGTGCAGTTGTTGTTCCTGGGGCGAGCACTAGAGATCCTCAAGTCTCGCAGGACAGTGTCGCACGTACCTCGACGTATATGAGGAGATGGTGGAATGGACGCCTCACGTCAACGGAACGAGTACGAGCCCGGCGTAAGAGGGGCAGCCGTGCTATGACCTCAACATCCTTTCGGCGACTCCTGGAGCTGTGTGATATTGCAAAAAGCATCATCGACAGCCTCTGCTCGGTCGGCAGCGCGCGTACCCCCCGCCAGGCTCTCCTTGACAAGAGAGGTGAGATGCGTCTATTGCTTCGGCAGTGGGCAGAGACAACTCCACCATGGCTTGAGTACGAGCCTGGAGTTGATCCAACACCTACACCTCATCAGATGACACCTCAGTAAGTAGTAACCTTTGACTGCGATAAATACCTCGCATTGGACTGCTGGCAAGTTCACAACAGCGCCATGAACTGTACTCTTGTTATCCTAACTAAGCAAGCCCTCCTCGGCTCCAGCCATCCCGAAGTCAGACAGGAAGATATGCATCGATGCTGCAGTGCGAATCTGGAAGGTCCTGAAAGCTTACAAGACGACGTTCACCTTGAGACGAGCGCAGTACGGCATCGCCTACGCCGCCTAATGCGCCACGCTCGTCATCTTACAGCAGGCGGATGAGGAGAGCGATCAGTACTTATGCTGCATCAAGTTCTTCCGGGATATCCTGTGGGAGTTCCAACGGGGCCGCAATCGCGGTCTGAAGCGACCTCTGCGCATCTTCAGATCCTTGATGGCTCGCATAGACAGAGTCACGCTAGCTCTCGGCCTAGAAAAGGAGGACGAGCTGTTGCCGGAGGATTGGCCGGGCAAGAGCCGTAAGATGGACTTCGCACCTCTCAAGTCACCGTTGTTAATGGGTGATGTGCGTAGCGTTTCAGGCAAATCTGGAATTCATGCTCCTCGACGGTAGCATTGGTGGTCTCGAACCAGACTCGCTGATGGGCGATCCGTTGCGGCCCCAAGAAATTGGTGGAGTTTGGCTGAGTGACAGCATGTTTCGCATAGCAAGTGATAGCATGCAGGGCAATTATATGTAAAGAAGGGCGAACACTATGATCGTTTTCTTGGATGCATGAGTGTTGACTTCGGGTCCTTGCGTTAATAGTAGGGGGAAAACTGTGCTCATTTTCATAGTCGAAGCAGCTCGCCTACTTTACTCGCACCCGTGGACCAATGGATCTGAACTAAAGTGTTCAAGATATTTCCCATCGAGGGCACATGGTTCCTAGGTCGTGTATTGAAGTGTGTCTATGCCAGAGCTACCTACTTGACAGCGAGATAGCTTTCGACTCTGATTTTGCCCATCGGGTATGAGTGACTTGACACTCTATCCTACAATCGGCAACGAACCATATCATTGATATGCCCGGGGGTCTGAGCCCTCAAATGATGCATCACATTCAATATAGGTCGTCCTTGCAGAACAACCTTTCGATCCTTGACATCCACGTTGGAAGGCCGACCCCAGCGCCACCTACTTCTCATCTCTTCAAGCCTGGGCCTGGCGATCCGGTTACTTTCAGTGATGCCAAGAACTTGGCTGATGAAGCTCCCAACAACAGGAAGAAACTTGAAACCGTGCCCCGATCCTCCGGTGGCGACGCTGAGGCCCTGGATCCCTGGGTGATGGTCAATCAACCAGCCTCCATCGGGTGTCATGGCGTCCCAGCAGATCTTCATGTCAAGGAACTTCTTGTTGGCCAGGCTCGGCGCCCATCTGTTTAGGATCCAACGGATGCCCTCCTCTGCAATGGCCGGGATCTTTCCGGCCTCGTTGGTGCTGACGAGGTCGCTGTTGCGAAGCGCAATGCCAACGTCGGATTGGTCTTCCCAGCTCGATCGAGGATTCTCGTCATGCGTGAAGCCGACAATCCCTAACCCGAGCTTCATGAGGCCGGTGATGGGATCCGGAGGGAAAAAGTAGCCGTTGTGGTAGATGTCGACGGCGGGATAACCTTGCCAAGCCTTCAGCTCTTCTGAGTTTTCCAGTTTCCAGTGCGCGATGGCAAAGCCAGTGGGATGGATCTGAGTGCCAAGGCCGGGGAGAAGCTTCTTGTTAGAGGTTGAGAATGCTCCTGTGGCGTAGATGACGTGCTCAGCAAAGTGCGACTGCCCGTCAGCCGTCTTGACTCCGCGGATCTGATTGCCAGAGATGATGTTGTCGACAACACACCCACGCCAGCGATCGGTGATTTGTCTACCACCGAGAGATTGATAATCTTTCATGGCTGAGATGACAGCTTCCTTGGGATTCGCCCACCCAGCATGCTAGGTCAAGGTTAGTAGATGCCGCATGCAGGGAGGAGTTGAGGGCTCACTTTGACGTAGTAAAAGTCCCATCCCCGAAGCTTGTCTCTATTCCCCAGCAGAGGAAACATGTTGTGAAGAGATGACACCTTGTCAGCCTCTCCAAAATCCTCCACGTCTACGCCAGCGGCCTGTAGCACATGCTTGCACTTTTCGACATTCGTGTGTCCAGGGGGCTGAGCACCGATGCGGCCAGAAAGATGAAAGTGCTGCGAGAACACGGGGTCGCCCTGCCAGGCCTCGATGGCTTCTTTGGCGAGGTTGAAGTAGAACGGATCAGCATAGTCCATGCGCACAGCGCGAGATGTGTCGTTGCCAGAGGCAGAGTCGATTGAGGGAAACGACGCAGAGTCGCGCAGCAGCACGTCAACGGCATCTCGGTGATGGCGCTGGAGATGCAGAGCAGTGGACAGGCCGAACGCGCCAGCCCCAATAATGATGACCTTCTTTTTGGGAGTAGACGATGCCATTGTGTCAAAGGACGTAGGTTTCCGGCTCAAATCTCTGTGTCAATTGCAAAGTGAAGTGTCTCTTGAGAATCGCGTTCCAGTTAGATGGTCCTGGTTGCACGAGCCATCTGGACACAAGATGCCATATAGTCGTTGGCTCATGGTCCAAACTTGTATTGTCGGCCGATTAGACTGCACTTGGCTTAGACAATATCATTGATCATCTTACAGAGGGCCTAAACCCAGAAGAGTGTGAAACTGACGAGATATAGGAGAGTGGAACCAGCACGCTAGCCACATGCAGTATATGTGAAGCGACCAAGTGGTGTGCGATAAAGATCCTTTGCGCTTTACTGTTTTTGGTCCATTTCAAACGAGATTACTGTAAGAGCGGGAAGTATGATGCAGTAAACCCTTGACTCTAACCCTAACAAAGTATGAAGCAAACGAGATCTCGCAGGGTAGATAAGGCCAAGCACGCTAGCAATATACAGCACATACAGCACATACGAAGCGACTTGGTGCGGGACGCTTACTGCTTTTACTCCATTTCATACGAGCCAGATTAGTGACACAAGGTCTAGACCCCTCGAGGGAAGTCTTATCGGTGTCTGAGGATATAGGCGAGATTTTATACGAGTCAAGAGAGCAGCGGACTGGCAATTAATTCCAATTCTTATCCTGGAGACTAACGTTCGCAGGATCCGGGAGCTTTGCTAGACTCAATATGGCATCAACAACACCACGGGCGAGTCACTTCCACTGGGAATCCAAGGACTGTTTTGATTAACTGCTGGGTCTTGCCCTAGTTGCGATGAGGCGGATGGACACGAGGCAATCGCTACCACTGCTACAGTCCCCCCTCTCTCCTCTTGCTTGGGAAGGGCTTGATACTTACTCGGATTCAAGTTCGGGGGTGTCAAGCAAAGTGGCATCGGTCGTGAGGACAGCAATTATGGCATCGAGGAGTTCCTCAATATCAAGACCATCACGTACGAGGGTATAGAGTCAAGATTGTAATCATAACTACATAGTGCAATCCCATCACACCCATTCGAGTACTTGGTGACTACTCAACATGGCGCTCCTCCACAAGAAACTATCTCCATTGGTGCATGCTGTAGCCCTGTGCCCAGGCAGGAGGGACCACATCTCCTCGAGCACGTGGAGAATCTGACGCGACGTTGTGTCGCCGGACCGGTTGCGTGTCAAGAGCCTTCTGATCCGCTGTCCCAGTGAAGCATTCTGATCCAGGGTTTGCAAGTGGCATCCTGCGACAAAGTACGGCCACACATAGCTGGAAGAGCCAAGTGCGCCGCGTTGCGGGACAGCAAGACCAGAATCTAGGATCTCATCCAGCCGACCCAGGCACGTTCCAGTTTGCGCATGAGCTGTGGGATCCGATTCAGGGTACAGGTTCCCCAGCAGCAGCACAGCGGCCCAACGGAAGGCTTCAGATGTCTTTTCCAGAAGGGTCGTCACCATCCGGTCCGAGTGCCGGCCTAGCAATCCCGCGATTGCATTGCCATTTCTATTCTCTACAGGTGCAAGTTGGTCCATGGATAAGAGTTTCTGTGCCGTCATGTTGGCCCAAGTCTGCTGTAAACATGATGGTGGTGGTTGCGATAGCGATTGTCCTACTTGTCTCACCCGCCATGTGATGACCAAGATCGATTTGAGCATCTCATTGGAGCATCCAGCAAACGGATTGATCTCCTCGGTTGGCCTGTCAGTCATGCCGAGCCAGTACTGAGCATGGTCAACAACCTCACTCTGATCCTCTAGTGGCGACAAGGAAGTAAAGGCGAGTACGCTACGCGAAGCAAAATACTGACTGAGAAAAGACACGATAGCCTTCTCGTAGTGAGAGTCGTGGGATTCCAGCAGGCCGAGGTCCAACAGCCGGCGGACACCTCCTGAATGCGTCATCCAGGCTCTTGTGGGCAAGCCATGCGAGTCTGTAGGGCTTGATCCTGGGTTGTAAATCTCATAGAAGCATAGCATGAGGATCGTGCTCAGTATCTCCAGTCTTGAGAAGGAGGTCCGCTTCTTGGTGCTGAGCGATTGTTGCAAGCCTTGTAGCACTGCTGCCTGGTGACGAAGGGCAATAGTCTGGAAGCGGTCATCTTGCAACTTGACGCGGTTGGCCGTGAAGGCCAGAATGGCTCTCAGCAGGATTTTGGATTTGTCGACCAGTGGGAGGACGACCTGACGGTAGTTCTCGTTGTAACCATTCCTGACAATGCACCGAGGGCACATTTCGGCAACATCTAGATCCCACCATTAAGATCATGTGCTAAACATGGTTTGAGTCGTGGGTCGGTCTTACAGTATCGGAAGAGCATGCCGTCCTCGCTTGTCATATTCGGAAGCTGATATGGGTCGCCCGGCGATGAGATGGAAAGGGAGCATGTCTTGGACGGTATCGGCACGAGTGATGCGCTATCATCAGGCGTGATTTCTCCTTCGTCCAGAACCTGAACGAGACTAGAGCGTTCCGTGTTCCAATAAGTCACTAGCTGTGTTTCTTCCTCTGATTCCATGGCTGACGAACCGTACATGGGGTTTGTGTCACCTTGGGAAATGCTCACAATGCTGTCGCTCGAGGATTGATTCATTTCAAGATCAATGCAGCTTGCAAAGTGATGGTTGCTGTAGACATCGGTCTCACTTGCACAAAGCATTGCATGGCTAGATTCCTAGAACCAGTCTACCGAGAAGGTCTCGAATCGCAGGCGATGACGCCTCGTTTCGTGCTCGGTGCCGCCGCCGAGAGCGGTTGTTGCCCATCCTCGCACCCTGTCGTGGCCATTTGAGCTGAGGCTTGTAGGTGCAGTCGAGGGCTGCACGCTGGCATCTTTGACAAGCCGGCTTTACCTCTGCGGGTTGCCATTATCAATCTTGGTGTCGATCCTCTGGTGAATCCAGGACATACCGTCGCACTTTACATGTCGCCGTCGACAAGTCTGGCAGCCTCTAGTTGTGCGTGTCGTTGATCTTCGCGACCGAGATGTGGGCCTTTGTGTTTGCATCATGCTCGCATTTGTTGAAAGACGCAAGAAAGACCTGTGTAAGGTGTAGGGTGAGCTGACGTTGGAGGGAAGATGCTCATCAGAATGGCCGAGGAAGATCATTGTTATCAGCGGGGGGCTTGGGCCAAGGCCGGGATCGGGGGCGGGAGGACTGATAAACATCTTGGAGCTTAGGGGGCACGAGTATGGAGATCCGGCTTGGCAAGGCTGGGGTAGCCCCTGGTAGGCACCATCCCCCCTTTTACGCATGCCACATTCAATAAATTCCACTCTAGCGGGTCATTTTTATCCGTTCCGAAGTAAAATTTAGCTTGAGGTTCTGGCTTACTATCAATTATTGAGTGCCTACTGGCTGCCAATTATTCTAATACGATCTAGCCTTGCACTCAGGCGTCATGTCAATCCAAGTATTGGGGACCAGTACTTCAGGGATGCTTCTGCACACACCCCCAAGGAGATGTCTCGAGAGAGGACTAATAAGAATATATATAGAATTATACAAACAAGTATGGAATAACGATATAGCCAAGGAATCATCCAGATAATGATTTCCAGCGCGAAGGCAATACCCTGGCGCGCGTACAACCCAGCAGGATCGTCTACGGCCAACATCATCCCAACCACTAATCTAAAGAGCGTAGCGGAAGAGAGGACTCTCATCTCCCATATCAGTCAACTGCTCCGGCGTATACTTGGTCATGACCTCCTCGACCGGAATGGCAGCCCGTCGCGAATTGATCCTCTTCAGGATTAGATAGTAGATGCCGGGCCAGATGACGCCAAACGCTGTCAACATGGCAATGCAGATTCCGAATCCAGTAGAGTAGACGGGTGCTTCATCGGGCATGAAGATGTTGGATCCCACAATCTAAGGAACTCCGAATTAGCAACACATCTTGTGTGGTCAGGGACTCGGGTCAGAACTCACACCTCCAAGCTGGGCCAAGGACATCATCAGTCCAAGCCCGGCTGCACGCTTCATGGAACCGGCCATGTTCAGAGCCACCCAGGCCATGACGGCCGGTGAGATGGGATACAGACCACCGGCCATGAGAAAGAGGCCAAAGTATGTCACTCCGGGGATCTGATGGTAGCGGATTGTGATGGTGATGATGACGAATCCAACGACAGCCATTGTGTTTGGCAGTATGATTGACAGTGCCCGCTGGCGGTAGCGATCAGCCGCGAGGTCAGAGATGATGGTGACGACGCAGGCAAAAATGTATGGCGGAGCAGTCATTGCCTGGGCCTTGACGCTCGAGTATCCCAAGCTCTGGACGATGCTGGGCAGGACGAAGCTTATTCTGTAGACAACAACAGCCACAGTAAACTCGGTCAAGGCCACAGAGTACGTGTGGATGGAGCGGAACGCCTTCTTGACGTCGGCCATGTTGAAATCCTCTCGCTCCTTGATGCCGCTCTCCCCACCAACGGCGAATCGGTTTCGGAGCACGAGATACTCGCGTTCCTTGTCAGTCAACCAGCCTGTAACCTTGGCCGGCACAGGATTGATCAGCCAAAAGCAGGCAACGCCGACAACGACACTGAAGAGTCCCTCCAGGACGTAGATCAAGCGCCAGCCCCGGTAACCTCAAGTGCCGTCCAAGTGGCCAATGGCAAAAGCGAGAAGGCCAGAGAAGGCGCCTGCGATCGAAGCGGCCGAGTAAAAGATGGTCATTATCGAATGCAACTCTTTAGGGCTATACCACGAGGTGAGAATGAAGGAGCATCCGGGGTATATACCGGCTTCGATAATGCCCAGGATCAATCTGAAGGAAATCCACCCAGCATACGTGCTTTGCACGCCAGAGCAGATAATGGTCGATCCGCATCCGATGAGCAGTGAGGGAAGCCAGAATCGCGGGCCGACGCGCTTGAGCGTGATGTTGGAGGGGCTGGTCCCAGGTCAGCAAGGGGCATCGTCAGGACCACAATCCAGCTCAAGACTTACACGCCACCAGCCGCGTATGTGATGAAGAAGACGGCTAGAGACACATTCCACTGCTGTCCACTCAGACCGAGGTCTTCTAGGGCACCAAACAGTTTGGCGTTGCCTGCAAAGGCAAGTGGTCAGTAATACAGGGAGGGGGCATGATGTCGCATTGGAAGGTAGCATACCAGCATTGGAGCGGTCGATGTAGGCGAGAAGGTATACAAGCACCAGGGGAGGCAGGATGCGGAAACTGGAACCGGTCAATGAACAGTGCTTTTCCAATTGCAGACGAATACCTACTCGATCTTTCGGATAAGCGCGGCCTGCTTTTCCTCGGTGAAAGACTCGCGCAAAAGACAAAAGCGGTCATACTCGGACGAGTCCATACTCTCGGCAGAGGAACCACCGTGGCGCAACTCATCTTCGGATGCGATGGCTGTCTTTGTATTCATGCTTGCTGCGGCTTTTGCAGTTTGGAATCTGTCGTTGAAGATGGGAGAAGGGTAGTTTTCGATGCAGATGGATTAGTTGACTGTCCAAGGGGACTAGGTTGAAGGGATCCGCAAACTTATACCAATTCCAATCCCGAGCGCCTGGCCCACCCCTCCATACACCATGAGATAGACCAATATTCAGACTAACATAAGATAGACCAGGACTTGCGTGTTATGCCTAGGCTCTGTGCTTCATCAGCGTTATCGGGAAATCAAGCGCACCTCGCCTACGCGCGCCTCAATCTTGGGTCGTGTCCAGACATTGATGATGCGAAGAGACTAGGGGGCACTGTGACATGACATTTCAAGGCTTATCATGTAGCCGATCTTGCTGGGGTGCCTAATCGCAGATTCCTTAGATCGGTCACGGCCTAGTCTGACCGTTTCTAGGGTAAAACAGACGAAGACACCCCGCGATTCATGCCATGCTCTCGCCCCCACCGCAGAGACTTGGCACAGAGGCTAAGCTCAATTGAATGCATCGCAAACGAGCTTTTATCGATATCGCCTGGCGAGGCCGGCGTCTGTCCAGGGTGGGACCGCCGCCCGATATCCGAAGAGCGGGTGGACAGTTGACTTTCAGACTATCTATATATTGCCATCGAGGATAGTGCGAGCTGGACATGAGAAGCTGACACAACCGCCACCGTGACAGACAAACGATTTAATCTTCAATCTTAAACCCCTAAACAAAATGCCAAAGATCACCATTCTAGGTGCCGGGTAGGGTCTCGCCCCGTTGCGCGACAGCGGGCACTTTGACCACGGACTAACAAGTGACACAACAGAATCACCGGCCTGACGATTGCGAGTCAGCTGCCCAGAGGGTACGACGTGACTATTGTTGCTCGTAACCTTCCCAATGACCCGGAATCTCAGGAGTGGGCCAGCCCTTGGGCAGGCGCCGTCTTCATGGGCATGATTCCCTCGACACCGAGGGAGCAAAAGATGCAGCTGGACGCCTTCTGGACATGGTGGAAGTTGGCTCTCGAGCATCCAGAGTCCAGTGTCAGGAGAGTCGACATGTACGACCTTATCGATGGTTCATCTGAAGACCAAGTCTGGTACGCCAACAAGCTCCCGGACTACAGAGTCTTATCCAAAGACGAGCTGCCCAGCGGTGCCTCATTTGGTATGGCATACAAGTCCATCATTGTAACACCGTCAATCTACCTTGCCTGGGTCAGGAAGCGTCTGGAGGCAACGGGTGTCAAGTTCCAGCGCCTCAACGTCAACTCGCTCTCTGAGCTCCGGGGGATGGGACACCATCTCTTGATCAACTGCACTGGTGTCGGAGCGCGCTACCTCGCAGACGTGGCAGACCTCGACATGCAGGAGGTTCGTGGTCAGACAATCCTCGTCAAGTCCGACTTCAACAAGATCTGGATCCGTCGGGGCAAGGATTACACATATGCCCTGGGAAGACCTGATGGCACCGCCATCTTGGGAGGCTTGAAGACCTTCGACAACGCCGACACCAAGATCGATGACGCTCTGCGCACAGACGTGAGTATAGAAAAACATGTCGATTGCGTGAAACAAGGGTTCCTAACAGAATGTAGATTCTGCAGAGAATTCATGAGAACCTGCCCAAGGACTTCCCTCCTCCGGACGTTGCCAGGGCCAATATCGTGCGAGACATTGTTGGCATTCGTCCTCAGAGAAAGACCGGGACCAGGGTAGAGAAGGAAGTCGTCAGAAGCCAACACGTGGTGCACGCATACGGTCCCCAGGGTGGCGGCTACATCTTCAGCTTCGGGCTTGCAAACGAGGTGATCAATCTTGTGGAGCGTTCTGTGTCAGGAGAAGACACACTCGAGACCGAGGTCAAGGCAAATCTGTAGACAGATTAGGTTTTGCATCATTCATGATTGCTTGTCAAGGTCGCCTAACTAGCGATACTGCGCCTCTAGCGTTGGACTATGGCAAAGTATTGCAAGTACAGTATAATTGTGCTGTATAGAATGACTGACCTCGCTGCAGTCTTGTGATATCCCAGTAGACATAAGTGCACTGACTCACAGGGCTGACGACTGTGTCGATGTCGGGACCTTCTTCCGCGTACCAGACAATTAGAGTACCGACTTTAACTTAGGGTGATTGTGACTCTCAGCAGGGTTTAGCTCTTAGCACACAAGCGAAGAGAAGATATTTATGTCGTCGCCTCTGGTCTTTAACGTGGTCCTAGCTGTTCTCTCTCTGACACTGTGCATAGACTGGATTCTCTGTGAACATTGCTATTGGTCCCCAGCCTCTACCCACTTCATCCTCCTTTCCAGCACTCCTACCAACGAAGAAGAGCAAAATGCGGATGTTCTTATTAATGCTGGAGACATTCTAAAAGACTGGAAGTGGCCGGACAATAAGGGCCTCGACATTTTCACAGTCAGATTGCTCCACACCGCCGCTTGGGTACGCTCTTGGTCCCCGACCACATCAACATAGTTGTGCCGTCGTTGAGGGGAACCATGTTTGCTAGTCAAAATTCAGGGTCCAAAGCTAGACTTGAAGGCCAAGTCAGTAGCGATCATCGGTTCTGGCGCCAGCAGCATCCAAGTCGTTCCTGCGAATCAGCCCAAGGTGTCCAAGTTGGACCTCTATGTACATCCTCCCTACCGTCGGTTTTGGCATTAAGTCGTCGTCCTTCAACGAGCCTTGTGAGTCTAACAGGCCAGGATCTACACTGACGATACTTTACACTGACGTTCAACAGACTCAACAGCCGATGTAGAACGCTTTACCAACGATCATGAGTACTATCGCGGTTTTAGAAAGGATATCGAGCAGCAGATGAACGAGAACTTCGCCAGTAACTACAGCGATTCAAAGGCACAAAGGGATGGCAAGATGGTGCACACACACGGTACTGTTTTTTGTTTCCGACATCTTCGTTGACGAGACTACAGTGGGCGGAGAATAAGATGAAGGAAACGCTCAAGTGACCGAAATTGCAAAAGAAAAGCCAATTCCGAGGTACTTCGAGTGTCTGATCTTGAGTTCCAGGGAGAGCTTCTAACATACCTTAATAGCTGGGAGCTGAGCTGTCGCCGTATCACTCCTGGCCTTGCGTCCAGTGCCCGAACATAGACGTAATCAGAACCGACATCTCGAGAGTCACAGAAAATGGCATCGAGACGGTCGACGGGCGGTTCCGTAAGCTATAAGTCCTCATTTATGCCACTGGCTTTAACACATCCTTCTCGTCTCGATTCTATATCCTGGGCCGTGACGGGGTAAGCTTGAAAGACAGATGGCGGGCCAAGGGCCCCAAGGCATATCTTGGTCTCGCCATCGCTAGGCTGCCAAATTATTTCAGTGAGTACTAAACTGAAATATCAATCACAAGTATCTACTAATTTCCACGCAACGATCCTTGGCCCTAATTAGGCCTATTGTGAATGTATCCTTGGTGCCATGCATTGAGTGGAGGTGAGCCATCTCAACACCTCTTAGTGATCAGTTTCAAGGCCTCAGCCGTTATCTATTCCGTGAAGCGTTTCATATATTATACAAGTAATTCAGAAGATGCAAAGTGATCAGAGTAGAACGCCTGTGGTCAAGCAGTCGGCCCAAGATGCATTTAACGCTTACACCCAGGAAGCACATAAAGACATGGTCTGGCAAGGGTCTTGCCAGAGTTGGTGTAAGTGCACTCCCTCTTCAGAGCGCGAAAGTACAGGGACAGGGTGGCTGATATGGTGCATTCCACCTGCCTAGACAAGGATCGTAACACCGGCAAGATAACTGCTGTTTGGCCGGACTTAAGCAATGACTTTATGAAGTTCATTGAAAGTCCTCGGCAAGAGGATTTTGAAACCACATACATCAATGTAAAGCCACTGGATCGTTTACAACTTGATGCGTTGATTTCGCTGGCCTTGCTCATGCCAACTCCTTCTGGTTCATGGGCAATGGCATCTCGCAGCGAGAGACGAAGAAGCAAGACTTGACCTTGTGTACGTTGATAAGGAGTACTAGAGGACTCTTATTTCGCCGCTAATAACCTATTGTGCAGATCTAGATACTGCCAAGATGTGAAGGTAATGTCTAATCTCTGCCCTGTTAGTGAGTTGAGAAGCGATGGTCTGGTGCGACGTTACCTCCAAATCCAAGAAGCGAGCATTCATGTGTTTTGTGTTATTCCCAGCCTTTTACGCGCCAACAAATGCGACTGTAACACTGTCCCTGATGAACCTAAGGCCGCTGATCGGGTGCAGACATACCGAGCGAAGCAAGCATGGATGGTACAGGAAAAAGGCATGAGCGTTAAAGGAGCGAGTAAGATCTCCCTAGAACAAGTAGCTGAAAAGGAGTTCTGGGTCTTGACGCACCCAGAGGAAAGCAAAACGGTAATGACAGCAAGGGCACTTTTGCTGGAGCTGTCGGGAGCCCTGACGGAGCTTGCCGGAATGGAGGGAGGCCTCCCCCCATTCCGGGATGTAGGCTGCTTGTCACCCACCTTGAACATGAAAGATGTATTTCTGTTCTAGAGACTTTGATATTGTGTTCGTTGTTGTAGTTGAGACCTGGCACCCGATGGAATAACTGAACCAAAAGACAGTAAGTCCTTTAGAGTACAAAGTTGAAGTGTTGCAGAAAGGAGGCATATCTTTCCCATTTGACTCGCTTTGCCCCTTTAACCTGCCAGAAGCCCCCCCACCGCTTCTACGAGCCCTTGACGGAATGAAACTAACCGAATTACCTAGATAATACATGATTTTGGCCGGACTTGACTCCTACCCCGTGTTTGTGGTTTTGACGGTTGGCCAGGCATGTATTCAGCCACTTGTGTTACTGGTTTTATTTTCTGGGTAAGGCCCCGGCGGGAATGAAACCTCCCTCTATTCCGATCCACCAAACCTCTCCAATTGCATTTAGCATCGAAGAATGTACCGGTGGCTTATACGGAGTTGAGGATTACTTTGCTATCGATCACCATTCATAGCAAGGCGCGTCACTTCGGGCTGCTCGATTCGATGAACAACTTGGACTAACTTTCGGTCGGTGTCAGTCTCGAGCACGACTTGCCATCTGGCACCCCGACGCTAAGTCCCGTTGTCAACCTGCCCTCCTGTGGGAGCCCTGGAAACTTGGCAGTGTGGCAGCTCACATCGACGCCTAGGGATGTGAAAATCCGAATGCTCATGCCGCGGGCCAAACAAAATAAAGACAGCATTGGCCAGCCCAAGATCGAGGACTTTGTGTTTCAAAACCCTCGAAATACACTTTGAACTCAGTCTAAGTTGCTCTTGTGGCCCGTCTGCCATCTGAGGGGCATGCCTGAATATCGTGCCACGTACTGGGGACTTTAACTCTTTTTCAGGGTACGTTAACCGCCCATGTCACAAGGGTAGACATCCATTGCAATCGACACGGTCCTAGTACCAAGTCTGAAGTATACGAGCACTCCTCCCTGGTTCCGGCCCACAACCATGCAGATGATGGTTCCGCACCCTATCGGCGCAGACCTCATAGCGTGGTAAGTAGCGAAGCCGCCATCATATTCTTAACCCGTCCCTCCTTGAATGGTCTGTTCTTTATTATAGTTGCAGCCCGGCCCTTGATGGGTTAACTGAGCCCGAAGATCGAGCCCGAAGACCGTCCCCCCTTGAATACCCCAGTTAATGCTAGTTCGAGACTCCGATGGCCTTGGTGTTTCCTGTCGGTAATAGCTTTCTCATGGCCTTCCAAGTGTCCACGAAATAAGTCGGGTCGGTGATAATCTTACCGTCGAAGCCGAAGGGCAGCAGCTCGGAGCCCCTTTTCATTGAGCAAGGGCAGTGCATCAGGTAAAGGTCGACGTAATCAACTCCGAGATCTCTCAAGGACTCAGCGAGGGCAAGCTCGACGTCTCCTGGATGGTGGGCGTTGCACCATAGTTTCGCAGTGATGAAGACCCCCTCGCGTTTGATGCGGCTTCGTCTGATTCCCTGGCCGGCCTGCTTTTCTGTCCCATAACTGCAATCGTGTAGCGTCAGCACCAGTAACTATCAGAGTTACGATAAAGACAGATTTTAGAGAGCAGTCATACTTGTGAGCTTTGTCAACATGGCGAATACCGTTCTTAGAGCAGTAAAGACGGACATCTCCTGCTCGTCAGAGTCCTGGAAGGTACCCAAGCCAATGCATGGCAGCTTCTAGCCGGTGTTGAAGGTGAAATTTTTGCCCTTATATCCTGGCAGGCCCTGAACTGCCGTTACCATGGTTCTCTGTGCGCTATGGAGCACTGAGAACTCGAGAGGAGTCACGTTAGTAGTTCGGAGAGGCACTGGCGCAAACATCTTGTCAGGTTTGTGAAATAGTTGTGTTGCATGAAAAAGATTCACGAGCGCCCAAAACCAGGTTTTTTGCGCCATAGAAAATAGCAAAAGCTCAGGAAGCTGAGCTTGAGAGCAGTCGAGGTCTGACGAGTTTCATGCTACAGGAGCACCCCTTTCGGTTGGGGTGACACAACACAACCCCGACTAAATCCGAAGCAAAGATCATCAGTTGCCCCCTTTGTTCCTCCGCCGGAAAACCTTCTTGGCTATGTAACAAGCAAATTGCATAATTTGGGTTATATCTTGCCGAGAAGCACCATCGCTGAGGCAAACACCACGCTTGAGATACAACGCGGCAGCAGTTCCTAGCCTCATGGAACCGCATCGGCGGTAGGTACAGAAGTGTAGGGCAACACTGCAAGTATGACTTGGATTGACTACTAAAGTCGGAAATAGTCTTCTCAAGTCATGACGACTTCCTGCATCTAAAGCTAGGCCTTGTCGCTTGAAAGTACGATATCCATGTGGCGTCCCATGCGTTTAGCAACCACCTCTATACACTCCTCCCTCAGTTGAGTGGACGGAATCTTGTTGCAACTCTCCCGAAGATGCTTGTAATACGGAGATAGGATCCCTCGGTTGACATTGATCTTAGTATGCCGGCCGCAATCAAATTGTTGTATAGATCGGCTGAGAAATTGTTGACGCCGTGAATAACAACGGCAACACCTTAGCCGTTCGTGATCTCACGAATACGATCAAGTCTATGGGGAACGTCAGAAAGGTCGTCTAGGGCTTTATGGAAACACCTCCAGACCCTCAAAACTAACCTGTCGCATTCGAGAACAATGCCTTGAGTTCCATACTCTCTGTGAACGTTGCCGAAAGCCGGGGCCAAAAGTCAACACCAGCATCGACAAACGCCTGTGCCTCCTCATATGTGGTCATCAGTGCGCTTAGATCAGCCATGTCGGAGATGTCGTCTCCGTCGCCTTTAATCCTGCCGGGCTCTACTTCTGTGGCCTTGCTATTGGCGTGGCAGTAGGCGACGAGCTTCTTTGTCCGTGCCAAGTTGTCAGCTTTGGGATAATGAGTCATGTCGACCATAATCGAGTCGAAGGGAAGGTCATAGGTCACCTTGATGAGGCCTTTACCCTAGCAATGATCAAGATGTACTAAGATGGGAAAGGTGTCCTATTTAGCCGCCTGAGAGGCGGCATGAACCAATACCCCGTTGGAAAATGTCATGGCTCAACGGTCGGCCATGATACAACAAGGAACCGCGATCGAGAAAGCAGTGGAATAGCTGCGAATCATGTCAGTAGGGATACTCAAGGGACACAATGACATGTGAATATCTAAGATGGATGTTGTCAAACGTACATGGGGGAAGTCATGAATCAGATTTTAATCGTTAGCTGTTTGCTCGAGAATGGCCAAAAAGGAGATGACTTACTGTGCTCGAGTGTTGCTGTAACCAAGGCTCGAGGCAATTTAGGGATAGAAGTAGGAGAGTGCAAGAGTCGAGATGATGCAGTGATATCCGGCCACGAGCATTCAGAGTCTCCAGTTGGTCAGGACAGTTTTGAGAGCCTTCAAGTGCGAGATCTCCCCTTCTCCCTCAATGGAAGAGACAACTCCATCAGCATAAATCGGGGCACTGGACGGATCCGTGAGTCGCGGGATAAATCAGCCCATGAGAGATGGTGTCTGGGGATGGTCTGTGGTTTGACATGGGTGAAGGATACTCGGCGCCGAGTCGGGGCTTTTGCCTCATTGCCATTGATCATTGCCTAGACACTCTATTATTGCCTGACTCGGATTTTCCCTACAAACTCCACGACATTCTCTGCATCGCACGCAGGCATGACTTCACTGATCACACTAAGACTCTATCGACCCATCTTGTAAGGGTGGCAAGAGGCTTCAAGAAAACCTGGGGTCCTAAGACGGAGAGGGCAGCCTTGCATGCTGCTCTCTGCACAGCCTTAGACAAATCCTTAATGGCTAATGGCACCAAATGTTCAGTCGCGATTCATAGGCCCACACATTGCTTCTCCGATCTGGCTGAGCTGCTGAGCCTGCTCCGAGCTGCATATTCGACGCTGTCGGTTCTCGCAGGAGAGAAACAGTATCCAAACGAGATGATGCCTTCCACGATGGGTGACTGCCCCAAATAGTGTTTTGCAGCATTGGGTTTTGATGCTGCCGTGTGTCTTTAAGTGTGTTCTTTGGTTATGTGGCTGACAACAATGTCATTGAACAACTAGAATAGTGACTGCCCCAAGTCCAGATGCGAAACCGCGATTCACGACACTGACTCTGTTCTAGACCTACAACGTCGCAGAACTGAGAGCTTGTCACCCCTAATCATGCCACCTCACGATCTGACCTCCTCCCGACGGCGGCTTCAGGTGCAGATGCACAGGTATATAACGGCCTCCCAACGGCCGCCATGGGCGACGCAAATATGTGAGAGTCGCCTGGGGAACGGTCTGCCATCTATCGGCTCACTAAGACGGCGGAAAATTCGGAGCTGACGTCCAAGGACATAAGGGCCCCAGCTTCTGCCACGCACAACATGAGCCACCGCGGTGATTCGACCCAAGACCATAACAAGACGCCTTCCGATGCATACCATAGTTTCGGGCAGCACAGGCCTGCACCCTGTCTGCTATTATTCTTTATCCAGAACGTGCGTCAAGACGATATTATCGTTGGTGGTCTCTCTCATCTACCAGAAACACGCCTGGCACCTGTTCAACAGCTTCATGATGAACGTGGTCAACTTTCTGCGGATATTCGATCCCATACTCAACAGCTTCAGGATGTTGCACACTCGAGAGCCGTTTTGCTTCACCGTCATACCCTTCCTTGCTTCGTGTATCGGAGGGTCACCCTCGAGCTTTGCGTGCGTGCAAGATGTTAAGGACCTGATGTCTGGGAGCTTGTTTTACTATCCCGTATCGCTTGGCAAGGTCTAGGCTATGATCCTGCTCGTGGCTTACGCTGAGAGCACATGGTACGCCCTGGGCCACACACTGTAGATGGCTCTCGATCTCAACCTCGACAAGGACGAGCAGATGCCCGACCAGATCAGCTATTTCAGCCATTCGGAGAAGCGGAGGCAAATCATCCGCGGGGCACGGGTCTGGCTCGCGCTGTGCTTCATCGAGCGCGAGATTGCCATGGGCATAACCAAGACATCCCGAATGCCACCGGTATCCTCGTAAGACCTGGTCCATCTAACATGTCAGTCCCACGTACCACCAACAAACATGAGACTCGCCTCTCTGGTTGAGACCGTACAGATTCGTGACGAGCCCCTGCGTGCCATCACGTTAGCCACTGATCTCGAAAGTAGCGGGCTGCAGAGAATGCAGGGCATGAACACGAGATTTGAGGAATGGTTCCAACACTGGGACGCTCCTCACAAAGATTGCGGCTACGACTTGTCCTCCTTCCAGGGCACCAGTACCCAATGCCAGCCAAGTTACACCATGATGTTCTTGGGATGTGCGACAATTGGCCGTCTGACTAATAACCAGTCTCTGTCAATGGCAATGAGCTGCAACATGATCCTAATGGAAGTTGTCAAGTTTGTCCTGTCCATACCCATGGGCCAAATGCATCGGGTGGTGCAGTCCGAGTCGTACAAGCGGCACCTGAGATGGGCTACCAACTACACAATCATGTCGCCGGCATTTGCAGGTAAGTTACCTGGGCGTACGGAACCCGTAATGTCCCTTTGCTGATGGCCCCCTCGCCCATTTTTGTGCTAGAAATGTGTAAGCGTCAAGACGAGACTGACCAGCAAGAGGTATTAGTCGTCGTCGCTACCGTGGCACAGATCCTTACACACTATCATGATCCCTTCCTCCACTGATTGATGCACTCGCGTCTGGCGCAGCATTCAGGAACGTCACCCAGTGTGGAAGGTTAGGTATGTAGACCATGGGGCTTTACATTGTCCGCCAGAGAAGCCTATTACGGGCACACCCTTTCCATTTCCCGGGCATGGTGATTGCGCGGGGCAGCGGTTGGTTGTCGGGGCCGAGAGTGTAAGTGATGACTGGAGAGAAATGGTGGAACATGGTGGAGGCTCACGATAGTATAGAAATGGAATATATCATGTAAACTAAGACCTCCATTTCACTGCAATCACGACATGAAACATTCACAAGCCCACATATATCCAGCTTCCCATTATCTCATCATGTCTCCCAAATCCAGTTTGCCGCGCGTCAGCGTCTGTGGCCTTGGTGCCATGGGCATTGGCATGCCCAGGAACCTGATCATGAACGGCTTCACGGTCTCTGGCTATGAGATTGTCCCCGCCCTCGTCGACATGTTCGTTCAAAGAGGAGGAAAGGCAATCTTGAGTCCCAAGGAAGCCGCCGAAGCCGCCGAAGCGCTGCTCGTCATCGTCATCAACCACTTCCAGGTCTCGTCGGCCTTCTTCCAGGAGGGCCGCTGATCAGTGACTATCTTTGCCTGCGGCACCGACGCTGGTCTCGACCTTGCCAACCCTCTTCTCGGTCGTTCGTTTCCAAGATTGGCCGGATCAAGACAACTGACTCATCATGGTGAAACGGGTTCCGGTGTCAACGGAAAAGTCGTCCACCAAGTCAGGCCCGAGATTGTTATCGCGCTGGTCGCCGAGGTCATGGCTCTTGCTGTCAGGGCTGGTCTCAACACCCAGACGGTTTATGACCACCTTCAAGGCGGCGCGGGCGCCAGTTCAATCATGAAGAACCGTATTACCCATGCCCTCGATGGCGATGAGACGGTTTTCTCAGCCATGACCGATAGCCAAAAGGACTTGTCCATCATCGTGCGAACCGCAGGCGAGAAGTCGGTCCCCGTGCCCCTCGTTGCCATGGCCGAGCAGATCTACTAGACCACCGTCTACATCGGCTGGCCAGGTATGGACGACTCGGCCACCTGGCGCCTATACCTCCGCGACGAGCCCGACGACGCCGTGCATTAGCAGACCAAGGTCACCAAGGATGCGAGCTCTTCAGGCATCACGCTGCAGGATATTGAGGACATGATGGTCGGAGTGCACCTGGCTGCGACTGCCGAGTCACACGCATTAACAGATGCTGCAGGCCTCAATGCCGAGTAGATCTTTGACATTGTCTGCGGCGCCGCTGGCTGGAATGTGCAGTTTGAGAAGTACGCCCTCAAGATGAGGAAAGGGCCCTAGTACCTGAGGGAGGTCGAGGAGTCCAAGGAGTTTGGCGCTCGTCTGGTGATTCTGCGCTAACACGATGTTTTGGTGAGCCTGAATTGCTAACGTCACAACTAATAGGCTAAAGCTGTGACCAAAGCTGCCACTATTGACTCCAACCTGACTATTGCTTCTGCTGCTGTACAGGTTTACGAGATGCTGGTTGGGCCTCTCTGTGCATGAACAAAGATGAAAGTGAACATCAGCATGTACACGATAGGAAGCGGTGATCTAATGACCTTGCACCACTCACTCATCTTTCTTGAAATTTGAAAAAGTGTTTCATCTGTACTCGTAGTCTCTCAATCCGATCAATTGTACAGTTGTACCCGGGCTTGAAGTGATGCTAGCCAGAGTAGGTGTTTGGTTCATGATGGACGGTGTCCTAGCTCTTAGGCTGACACCCTAGATAACAGTATTATCCTTTCAAGCGACTCATCGCGATCAAAGATTTGGTGAATATGACATCCGCTACTGGAAGATCTCTACTATGGACATTGCTAAGCAAACGAACCTCACGAGGTTTGATTAGCCCATGATATTGGCGAAGAAGTCTCAGGGAAATGCTGCGGGGCAATGGAGGGTCACCTTACTAGACCTCCTTTTGCTTGCTCAGATATCTTCAACTATTGTTTAGCTAGTCCGTTCTCGCGTAATTAATCTGGTGGAAGGTCTTGATGGTGTTGAAGTATCTTTCGTACTCCACCTCCTCGTTCTCGGGAGAGTCTTGTAGATCGTAATGGTAGTGAGCCCCCTCTCCCCTCTCATTTGAATAGCAATGCGTGTGCTCCAGTCTGATGCCAATCTTCTCAGGATCCCCGCAGTGGAGGACTGCGAGGCGGATCATAGGCCCTCCAAAGGTATGGTACGACAACCAGCCGTCGAGGTGCTCCTGGTTGCGAAACTTGAACGGCGGCGGGTCGACCTTTGGGAATGGTGGTATGACGTGGAACTTGGCCTTGCCTGACTTTATGATGAACACGCTCCTGAGGGAGACCTGGAGATCTACACCATAGGCTTTTGCGAGGGACTGGCGGATGAAATCCGCACAGCTGCTGACATCACCCTGGCGACCGCGTGCGCTGGGCTTGATCACCGGTCCCGGAAGGCCTTTCGATCCGTAGAGATTCATCATCAGGCCAGAGTCGGTACTTCCAGACAAGGGACAGCAGACCGGCAACGCACTGCCCTCTTTTCTTAGCTGGGCGGCCCGAGTCAGGTTCGTCACGCTGTCGAAACCGTTCCCCCAGCTGAGATGGTGGGCGAGTTCTGAGTTGGTGCCGTCAACGAGAAAGGGGCCAGCCCCTGCCCCGATAATGGCTCCCTTTCCTGGAGACAGACCCATGAGCTTAGCGGTCTCGATAAGCGAGTAGGTCTTGTGGAGATATGGCTGGGGGAGTAGGTCAACCTGGCCACCGATGTCGGCAGCAGTCTCGGACCCGGTGAGACCCTCGCCGGTGACCTTGAAGGGCGCCTGGCGCAGGTCGGTGACTGTGGCCGATGAGGTGATATAGTTTGAGGGGAGCGCCTTGGCCAGGGTCTGAGCGATGTCCTCAAGGAACGGCGGCGAGAGCCTCAGCTGTGTGACTTTCATTATGATCTTCTGGGAGGAGACGGTACTTGGTGTTTAGGGTGCATCACTTGCCAGTGCTTCTTGCAAGCGTGTCTACTAATTGTCTTATACGACAAGCAATATCATGGTAGCCCAAATCAGCGGTGTCTTAAGGGCTCAACTCCGTTTCCCCATCGTCAAACGCCAAGAACCAATATGAAGCTATTCACGAACAGCCTGTTTGCGAAGCCGGGAGTCTTGGCGACTAGCTGCCCAAAAAGGAAACCCCGCATTGCCCCACTCGGCGCCGAGGGCGGGGCCGAAACCCGAGGTCCGAAGACTGGATCCTCGGAGAATCAAGAGAGCACTATGCCCGATTTCTTCCAAATGATATGTCAAGACTCCCCGCGACCTCAGAAAGTATCATGTCCCCTCTCATTGGCAAGCTCCCCGGGTCCACTAGCCTTTCGCCCTGACACCGACACCATGCCCCCGAACCACGCCATCTCCTCAATCCGGACCGGGGTTAATATAGTTAACCATGGCTCGGTCATGAAGTTCACGTCTCCAGACACGCGTCATCGATTCGGCGGCAGCTTTACTTCCGGCGTAGACAGATTGACCCTGATAGCCGATTGAGGGGGAGACACTGGAAACTATGACGATACGACCAGAGCGATCATAGGGAAGATAAGGTATGATGGCTCGAGTGACCAATAGGGGACCAAGGACGTTGATGGAATAGACGCGCTCGAACTCCTTGGGCTCAACGGGCCCTAGTTTATCATTATTCATGTGCTGCTTGGACGATACACCGGCGTTATTGATTAAGATGTCCACATGGAATGGCTTATCGGAGGCGTAGGTTTTGAAGACTATCTGGGCGGTGAGGAGGATAGCTTGGGAGGCCTCGATCGGCGATGCGAGATCAGCCTGAACGCAGCCACATGATATTTTGTAAGTGTCAGATAGCTGCTTGCAAAGCTCCTCAGTCGAGGCGGTTGAAAAATCAGATGTGTATGCGAGGACCAGGTTGCATCCCTTAACAGCCAGCCGGTGGGCTACCGCCACTCCAACACCTGAGAAGACGCCAATATTCGTTATTTTCTTGTTTCATCGGCACCAACTGGGACTCACCGCGAGAGCCTCCGATAATAATGCCCAACTTACCCTTATAAGACCGTTGAGACATGATCTCAGGTGTTCACCAAGAGTTTCTGTCGTCAAGATATTTCCAAGTTCAGGCAGTGAAGCACAAAGGGAAGTGAGCAAAGTTGACGAAACGCCACATGCATACAATGGGCTCATGTGTGTGTAGTGTAGAGGTCGTAGTAGGCACGAGCCACCATCATGAGACTATAACCCGCCGCAGGACTCTCGAGCCTGACCGGAGTTTCGCTTTCCAACGCTCTCATCTCGTCGGCGCCGATGGACGTGGAGACAAAGCACTCCTCCGATTGGGCTCTCACCTCATCTTGGTCAAAGCCCACCTTCTTCGGCGTCAGAATCTTGACCACAAGGTGATTGGACATTTCGCGTAACCAAAGCAGAGCAGTCTTGGGTTTCGACACAGTTCAGTCTCAAAAGCCATTCATAATAGACCAAGTATTTCAGAGGTCAAACCTGCCGGTATGGTTTAATTTCCAAAACTGTGAAGCTATCCAGTCACCTCGTTCATTCCATCATTGGGCCTGTACTACACCTACACTGCCCATCATGTCTTTAATGTGGGATACTGTGAGGGTGAGACGACTGACCGCCAACGCCGCCTCACAGACATTCACACGATTACGCTCTACCAGACAGACGCTACTTAAATGAACAAAGAAGCCTAACTACATACCACGAAGCAGCAACCCCTTCAACAGGCCATGATAACAAGCTGCCATCGACAGTCACCGCCTTAGGCGCAATCCGGCCAGGCTATGAGTCCCCCACCCTACCGCCACTGGCCAAAGCGTCGACGCCGACGCCGACGCGATTAATCCCCTTTGTCCTAATGTCTTTGATTGCCTCCACCGGACTCTCCAGAACATGACTATCTATGGCAAGACTGTTCTAGTCACTGCCGGTGCCCGGGGCCTAGACAACAATATCGCTCGTGCCTGTGCCGAGCCGGGAGCCCAGCGGATCATCCTGTTCGACGCCGACCAAGAACTCGGCGAGACCTCTTTCGCAGAACTCTATAAAAAGCCCAGCATTCCCATATCCTTTACAAGGTAAACATGCGTCATGACTCAACTCTGCCGTGGATTCCATAGTCAAGGAGTACAGCGCTCCCGACATCCTGCTCCAGGCCGCAGGCATCGCAGACTCTAACCTCAAGGCGGAGACCTATAACCCGACCATATTCCAACGAGTAATCGATATCAACCTAAACGGATCTTTCTTGGTCTTGGTCTCGCAAGCCACCAGCCGAGCGACGATAGCTGCTGGCAAGCCTGGAAGCATCGTCTCAGAAATGTGGATGAGCTTACTGGTCTCTATATGTTTCTAGCGACGGATGCATCTCAGCTTCATGACGGGGTCTAATTGCCTGATTGACAGAATATATTCTTGCCTTTAGGTGGAGCTTGCAGAAGACTCAATGGGGAAAGCCTGCGGTGAAAGACGTGCCCGACGACTGTATTAATACACTCACAAAGTTAATTTCTACACTTTCACTACGGAACACCTTTGTTTTTCTCTTTCCCCCTCTCGCAAATAAACCCTTCGAGAAAGCCTAGGGTAGACCAGCATTCGTCCATGACCAGCACACTCTTATTTATCTACCGGGGCTCACCCCTTCCCCCAAAGACATGCTTCTCAAGACCGATGAAAGCCTCACCGAGAACTTAAAGCAGCGCCCCGACTTCTTCGCCTTCCCACTCAAGCTTAGGGTCGCTCCTCTTCGCTATGGTAACAACCATCTTATCCAATTTCGGACGAACCCAGGCCCCATGCGTAACTCTTATAACCACAAACTCGATGTTGGAGGTAGCATTTCCAAATGGCCAATGAGGCCTGAGGACCATAGTCAGAGTAGGCATATCAGAAATGGTATAACCCCGGTAGGTTTCGGGTCAATGGCCGGGCCAGATTGCTCTGGTGCGGTTCTTGGGGTTATCAGTAATGTTGGCGATAAGAGGACGGTCGTCTTTCCCATGCTAATCAATAGTACCGAAATCACCGGTCATGGCCTTAAAGCTTGGGGCACAGATGAGGACATCTGAAGCATATTCGGTTCTATCTGAGGTTGTGATGCCAATCGCCGTGATACTCTTGACAGGGGCTTCCTTCTGATCTGTGAGGTGAACATGCGGTTTATTATATGCCTCATAATATCTACTTTCTACGGGCACATACCTGGTACTAAAGATCTTTCAGAACTAGCTTATAGGCTAAAATCGGATTGGAACTCGCTCTCTGATCTTGACGACCATGAAATCAGTGTAGAGCTTATTAGCTAAGCGATCTGTATATATATCAGAGAAAACACTGAGCCACTTGCCCATGCTGGTTGCGTTATAGAACCTTTCCCGTAACTGCACACATATTTTCCTCTTGAGAAACATCGGATAACTTGGGAGGATCGGAGAGATACATGAAATCCGAAGTCAATTGGGCGCAAATGTCGGAAATCGAGTTGTACTCATGTCTCTTGATAATCTCGGCCATCATCTCTGCCGAGATGTTTTAAGTCCTAGAGGGGAGGCTGGACCGAGAAGACTCCTTCCGATGCTATTTGTCGAGAAGCTCTTTATCGAAGAAAAGTGCATAAGAAAGAGACTCGGAGTTGAATTGGCAACCTGGGTATGCGTTCTGATACTCGGTGCCACCGACATCGGAGGCAGCGTCTAGAACCTTTACTCTATAGTCGGTGAATTACTGTCGAATGCGATGAGGAGTGCAGAGACCCAAGACACCGGCAACGATGACAATGACACCGAAATCAGTCGTCTGTGGTATGTGTCGAAAGTCACCACTGAGCCAAAAAGCATAGCGCGCGCCACTTTAGTTAGTGGTGCTTCCGCAATTGCCCGCTATAGCTGCCAATTCAACAGTATGGAACCTATCTTTGCAGGGTATCGACTTAGAGCGATCTTTAGGCTTAGTTAACCTATTAAGGGCTAGGCTATAACTATAATAAAAAATAAATCTTAAATATAATATATTATTATAACCTAATATTAATATAATAACCTATTTAAATTTTTATAATGATAAAAGAATTATACTTAACGTACTTGATAAGCAAGTGAACCAGTCAAGCAAGTGAACCAAAAATCCCTCATCCTACATCCTCTCTATTTAATCAATTGATTCTCAACCACCCAGCATATCACAGTCTAATTATAAGCCTAGAATGCTTCTTGCCCTTCAGGCCCTTCAAAATAACCCAAAACTAAGCCTCCGACGCGCCGCAGATATATACACGGTTAATCGAATAACATTACGTCGCCGACAGCATGGCATCCAATCTCGACGCGATACTATCCAGAAATCACGTCGGCTATCTGATCTAGAGGAACAGATCCTTATTCACTTTATTCTCGATCTAGATTCGCGAGGATTCCCCCCTAGGCTTCGTGGTATGAAAGAAATGGCTAATCAATTGCTTGCCGACCGCGACGCGCCACCAGTTGGCACGCGTTGGGCTCATAACTTCGTTAAGCGGCACCCAGACCTTAAGACGCATTTCTTTCGCAAATACGACTACCAGAGAGCTAAATGCGAAGATCCAACTATTATCCGCGATTAGTTTCGGCTTATGGCGAATACAATCGCGAAGTACGGCATCCGATCAGATGATATCTATAACTTTGACGAGACTGGCTTTCTTATGGGTATAATTACAAGCGGAATGGTTATCACAGGTGCAGAAAGGCATTCAAAGCCGAAATCAATGCAGCCTAGAAACCGGGAATAGATTACAGTCATTCAAGCGATCAATACGGAAGGCCAGGCGATCCAGCCATTCATCATTAGCGCGGGCCAATATCACCTCGCTAATTAGTACCGAGAAAGCAACCTCCCGGGCGATTAGGCTATTGCGACGACCCAAAATGGCTAGACCGATAACGAGACCGGTCTCGAGTGGCTCAAGCACTTTGACCGGTGCACAGCCAAGCGATCAAATAGTCGCTATCGTCTTCTAATCCTTAATGGCCACGAAAGTCACCACTCAATCGAGTTCGAGAGATATTATGAGGAGAATAAGATTATCAGGCTTTATATGCCACCTCATTCGTCTCATCTACTCCAGCCCCTTGACGTCGGGTGCTTTAGCTTACTGAAGAAGGCTTATGGTCGAGAAATAGAGCATCTAATCAGATGCTCTATAACCCACGTTTCAAAGACCGAGTTCTTTCCGGCCTTCCACGCCGCACACGAGGCCACTATGACAGAAAGAAATATCAGGGGGGCTTTTAAAGGAGCTGGGCTTGTTCCTCTTGACCCAGAAACTATGGTCTCAAAGCTTGATATTCAGCTACGGACGCCAACGCCGGTTGAGGAGGCAGCTAAACCGTCGACCCCTTGGGCTTCAAGGACCCCAAAGACCGTGATTAAGGCCAGATCTCAGTCTAAATACCTCGAAAGGCAGATCAAAAGGCATCAAAGCAGCTCCCCAGAGTCAATTTTAGAGGCTCTACAGTCTCTTACGAAGGGGACAAAGGCTATTATGCATAAGGTTACCTTATTGACCGCTAAGAACAAAGACCTTCGAGAGGCGAATGAGATACTAAGCCGGCGCCGGAGGGCAAAAAGGACTAGACTACAGAAAAGAGGGGTTATGACGGTAAAGGAAGGAAGGCAAGCAATTAATCAAATGGATATAGATGCGCAGGTAGTGGCCAAATCGTCGAGGAGTAGTGGTCGAGGAAGGTCGGTTAGACCGGGTATTCGGCGCTATAGTATCTGCGATAAGCCCGGGCATAATGCAAGGACCTATCAGGTAGTGATTGAGACGTCTGGGGAAGAGTATAGTAAGTAGTTTTAATTAATTAAATGGTTTATAGTGTTTTTATGGCGATTTCTATCTAGAGGGGTAAGGGAAAGTGGTTCACTTACTTAACTGGTTCACTTGCTTATCAAGTACGTTAGTTATATTATTATAAAAAGTTTAACTTTTTATAAGTATTTTAATTATTTTAATTTTTATATAAAAAATAAAAAATAAAATTAGTTTTTTATTTTCTTAAGTTATAATCT